ATGTTGGGCAGGCTGGTCTTGAACTCCTGACCTCAAGTGATCCACCTGCCTCTGCCTCTCAAAGTGCTGGGATTACAGGTGTGAGCCACCACGCCCGACCAGTCACCAAACCTTTCTAAGCCCTGACAAATTCTCCTTTAAAAATGTGATAAGAAGACTCGGTGCATAGCTTTAGTGTTACTTACGATGATAATTTTCTTACTCTTAGTTTATTAACTCATTTAAACCCCATCCATCTAACAACCCCCGGGACGGTGTGGGGGCAGCCCTCAGGCCCGTCACTGGCCTAGGCCTGCGCAAAGGGAAAAGGGTGAAGCTCTGAAACCAGGGGACAAGAACAGGCTGGCAAGTGGTCTGGAGCCCTCCTGGGTGCATGTGACTCACCCCTTTCCCCTCCCACCTTTCTAGCCACTCCCTGAAGCCACCAACATCCCACCTCAGACAGAGTTCTGTGGTTGGCCCACCCCACCCCACCCACTCCCACTGATACCACCCAACCCTAATGCCCAGCCCAAGACTCTGTCTGCCACACCACACTGCTTTCCTAGGACTCAGAGCTTAATGTCTTAGTTCCCTTACACCAATAATAGTAATTTCATTAACACTTATCATGTACTGGACACTGTGAAATGCTTTTCATTTTTTTTTTTTTTTTTTTTTTTGAGACAGAGTCTCGGTCTGTCACCCAGGCTAGAGTACAGTGGCATGATCTTGGCTCACCACAACCTCCACTTCCTGGGTTCAAGCAATCCTCCTGCCTCAGCCTCCCAGCTGGGATTACAGGCACATACCATCACATCTGGCTGATTTTTGTATTTTTAGTAGAAATGGGGTTTCACCATGTTGCCCAGGCTGGTCTTGAACGCCTGACCTCAAGTGATCTGCCCACCTTGGCCTCCCAAAGTGCTGGGATTGTAGGAGTGAGCCACCATGCCTGGCCTGAAATCCTCTTTATGTGTATTTTGTCAGTGAGTTCTCAGAACACTCTATGGGGTGGGTCCTGTTGCCCCATTTCATTGGAAAGAAAATTGAGGCACAGTTTTCTGTGAAGGATCAGTGACCTGCCTGCCAGAGGTCATGGCAGGGCCAGGATTTGAATCCCCGGCCCAATTTTAGAGCCACCATGCTCAATGGCTTCTCCACAAGCCTCACTTTCCCTAGCTGGGGTGCCCCTTCCAGTCTGCCTTGGGGAGCCAAATCTCTGCAACACTCAGGCAATCCCTCTCTCAACAGCTTTGGGTCGGGGAAGGTTTGCCCAGGCCAGTTGGTGGGTGGATGTGCTGAGGGGGAGGGAGGCAGGGGGAGGTGCCTTTCTGGAGTTCATCTGATTTTAGAATGGCTGTTTCCCATTATTTCCCGGTTTTACAGATGAGAGCAGTGAGGCACAGAGAAGGTGACCGCCTGAGGTATCTCGGTTGGTAAGCAGCAGCGCTGGGCTTGGAATCAGGTTTGAACCTGCGGCATGTGACCTGCTGCTCTCTGAATGCTGCTTCTACACAAGGCTATTCTGCTGCTATGGAGCCTGCTGCTTGTAGCTGGGCCCGAAGCTGGCATTTCCAGGACTTGGTGCTTCTGCTGAGGTTTTCTCCTTCTCCGAATACACCCTGCCGGGGTTCAGCACCAGCTTTGCCCTAAGCACGTCCACTTCCTGGAAAGGGAGGGCAACCCCCGACAGGGAGAGGTGTTCTGGGATCTTGGGAAGGCAGTCAGGGCAGAGGAAGAAACATGGGCAATAAAAGGCTTGCAGATTCTTTCATCTTTGTACTTTGTCCCAGGGAGATAAGCGAGTCCAAAATACAAAACCCCCTTGGATATGTGGATCCGTGCCACAAGTCAGGCTCGTAAATTCTGCATTTCCTGCTTGCTCTCGACAACTCTTGAGGAAGAGAGAAAAAGCGTGTGAGGGGTGTGGAGTGGGTCTCCCTAAATTCCATGCTCATGAGCCGGTCCCCGTGGGCTTGGGGGCTCAGACAAAAGCCTTATCACAAAGCAGAGAAGGATCTCTTTGTTTAGAAAGATTCCTCCCACCATGTGTTTAGGCAGCATCCTTAGGACAAAGCCAGAAAAATAAACTGAATACAGGCTTGCTTGAGCCCTTACTGCCCCCAGTGTGACATTTTTACTTCCTCAAATTATGATTTACTATTGTGAAAAGGAAAAAATGCCTACATAAGATCCTCATTTCTGGGAGTTTTCGTGTGTGAAATATATGGATTATACAGCCTCTTCCCTCTCCAAGTTAGTGGAGATTTGGAAAGACTCCATCCCTTTCCCTGACTCTACTTCCACAGGGCTGAGAACTGAGGCTAACGGGCACTTCAATTAACAACAACGCTCCCCATTTTCAGTATAAACTTGGCGGGTTGACAAGGATCAAGCACTCATTTTGCCATTAACCTTTATTCTGCAATTTTTTTTGTTTGTTTGTTCTGAGATGGAATCTCACTCTGTCGCCTAGGCCGGATGGAGTGCAGTAGCGCGATCTCGGCTCACTGCAGCCTCTGCCTCCCAGGTTCAAGCAACTCTCCTGCTTCAGCCTCCTGAGTAGTGCGATTACAGGCATGCATGCACCACAACGCCAGCTAATTTTTCTATCTTTAGTAAAGAGGGGGTTTCACCATGTTGGCCAGGCTGATCTGGAGCTCCTGACCTTAGGAGATCACCTGCCTCGGCCTCCCAAAGTGCTGGGATTATAGGTGTTAGCCACCGGGCCCGGCTTATTCTGCTAATTTTTAAGTCTGTGCAACTTTCAAGGGAAATTAAATCCCTACACACCCTACTTATTTTACACCGAACTCATCAAAATGTGGCTTCAAAGCCCCTTTGAAGTCCTAAAACTAGACATGTGGTCAGGGGGCCCAAGTGTTATAAGTGCATCTGAAACAAATAAACATGTTAATAAAATGTTTCCTTCTTGGCAGCATCCTGGTGCCTGCCTCCCTGGGTTGCAAAGGGAAATGTGATGAGGAAGAGGCGGGCTTCTGTGCTTCGAAGTGGGCAGGGCCTGGGAATCTCTGCAGGGCAGCTGCTGTCTGCTTCACCTCCATTGGCCCTGTCCACTCCTAGTAGGAAAGAGGCAAAGTCAATAGTGAAAGTTGGAAAGAAAACACAAAAGTCGGAAAGGACCTGGCACCAGGCTTGTCCAGGGTCAAGTTTCAAAGTTTTCAAGGTGTTTGCACAAACAGCTGGTTTCCATAGCAGCCAAGCCCAGGTGCAGGTACAGGTTGCCCTGTGCTCCTAGCCATTGACGGATAAAGAGGTGCATCCCACCCTGAGATGGCTTTAATGTAACAGGAGGCAGTGGCTTCTAGTGGGGAAATTTACCCCAGGGCGACATCACCAGCGCCCCCATGCAGGGGACCACCAGGTGTAGCCCGATACCAACAAGCCGCCAGGGGGCAGCCTTGTGCAAGGAACATCACTTCCGGCAGGTGTTGGTCACAGACAGCAGTGGCGGAGACTCTGGTAGGTAATTGCTCCTTGCATCTCCCTGGGGGCTCTTATCTGATCCTCACGACCACCCAGAGAGGTGAGGCAAGGCGACTTCCCCAGGGCCACACAAGGTTGAAGCTCTGGGGTGCCTGACACCAAAGCCCATGCTGTTAATTTACAAATGCTACCTCCTCCAACAGAAAGCCACCGGGCTTCACACTGGAGAAACCAATGGCTGTGCCCTGTGTTCCTCCGTGGGCAAACTAGCATCAAACTGTGGGCCGGTCAGACCCGGGGGAACTGCCCGCCACTGCAGAATCCCAAAGCCCACGGACCTTCCCAGATAGGAGTCCAGGAAGCAGTGCTTCCTGGCACAGGCCACAGATAAGACTGCTCTCAGAGGCAAACAATTGATCCCAACTGACAGCCAGGTGTCAGAAAATCCAGTCTCCCTTCCCTGCTTTTCTCTCCACCCTCAACCCCCATCTGGAGGGCCGGGGGCCCAGCAGTGATTTCCCATCACCATGGCACCTGCCAGGCCTATCTGGGGGCTCCTGTTTCCACAGCGGTATCAGCAGGGGGTAGAACTCCCACTCTGAGGTCAAGAAGGCAGGGGCCCCAGGTCTGCCCCCAAGTGAGCTTTGCATCCGCAAACATGTCATTGCAGCACCTGAGGTGGTAGTGCCATCTGCAAAGCGGTATCACTGCTGGGGGGTGGGGGGAGGCAGAGGCGGAGGCGGAGGAGGAGGAGGGGTGCTAGGTACCTCCCAAGCATTTAACAATCAGAAGCTCTTCTAGAAAAAGGAGAAACAGACCGGTTGCAGTGGTTGACGCCTGGGAGACCAAGGCGGGACGGATCACTTGAAGTCAGGAGTTCAAGACCAGTCTGGCCAACATGGCGAAACCATCTCTCTACTAAAAAGACAAAAATTAGCCAGGAATGGTGGCACGCGCCTGTAGTCCCAGCTACTTGGGAGGCTGAGGCAGAACTGCTCGAACCCAGGAGGTGGAGGTTGCAGTGAGCTGAGATCCCGCCGCTGCCCTCCAGCCTGGGCGAGTGACACTGTCTCAAAAAAGGAAAATTTAAAAAAGAGAGAAACAGAGGCAAAGGGAGGGGAAGACGGCAGCAACAATTAGCACAGCAGGGTGACAGGTGACAGCTTCTTGTTTTCCCGCCCCCCCAAAAAGCCCAGGTTCATTGTCAAAACAAGTTGCTAGTCTGTGTCCCTTAAGGCACAGGTTGGGGGAGCTGGTCTGGGGCTCCAACGATGTTACAGTGTGTGTGTGTATGTGTGTGTGTGTGTGTTACACTGTCTTGCTCTGTTGCCCAGGCTAGAGTGCAGGGTTGCAACCACAACTCACTGCAACCTTGGCCTCTCAGGCTCAAGTGATCCTCCTGCCTCCGCCTCCTGAGTAGCTGGGACTACAGGTATGCATTACCATGCTGGCTAATTTTTTAATTTTTTGTAGAGGTTGGGTCTTGCTGTGTTACCCAGGCTGGTGGTGTTGAACTCCTAGGATTAAACAATTTATTCAGAAGCGACAGCATCCAAGAACACCAAGGGAACTTTACGGAGCAAATGTTTTATTTAATAAGTTATAAGATACAATTTACAGTCGGTGTTTGATTCCAGTTTGGCTTCCATGTCCCAGCTTACAACACCCGTGGTCCTTTCACATCAGGCTTCGGGCTGCTCCAGTTTCTGTAGGGTGGGCTTTTACCCCCAACACTCGCCCCATATGCTACACCTGCCACAACAGTGGCCACTTCCTCAGGACTAAGCAGCAAACCCTAAAGGTCTGCCTGCCCAGACCACACTACACATTTGGGCTCAGGCAACGTCCCTGACGCTTTAACCTCATTCCAAAGCCAGCTCAGGTCTGCAGAAGGCAGGCAAAATTCCCTACACCTCATTTCTGTATTTCTGCACCACACAGCTCTCACTGTTTCTGCTAAATGGTGAAAAGACCACCAATAAGCTGCTGCCCTTCCTCTCCCCCACCATTCCCAACTTTCAGGCCAAAGATCGGCAGGAGTTTCATTCTTTCCTGTCTGTACAGATCATTATTTTCCAGAAAAAGTGAGCCATGAAGCTGGCTGGGGCGGGTGTGGAGTGTTAAGTCAAGGGACAGGCCTTGGGATGAGGGCGCTAATCCATGGGCCCCCTGAGGTCACTTTAAACATTTTGGTAAGACTCCCCAGGCCGATGAAGGGCTGGAGCATGTGCTAAAAACAAGGGCTAGTGTTGGTTAAAAGGGATCTTTGGCAAGTGGGGAACTGCTCACCACTGCAGAATTTCTTCAGACCTAGGAAGGGACTGAAACGGACTTGGAAATCTAAAGCAAAACCATGACTGCCGGGATGGTCTCGTGTGGTGACTCTGCAAGAAATAATCATCAGAGCGAGGGTACAGGTACTTGGGAGACATACGGGCCCGGCTGCCACCACATCCACTCTGCCCTCTGAGAAGCGTAAGAAGGCCACAGAGCATGGTGGTGTTGGCAGTGAGGAGCAGTAAAGCAGTGCTAGTGATCTGATAGCCAAATACATTAACACGGGCACTGAAAGAGATTAAGCTGATTTTAAGTCATCCCCTTTGCTAAATGACAACCAAACTAGGTGTCCCCCTTTTCTCTGCCCACCTTCCCCTAGCCTTGTTTCATAAATGCTGAGGAGCGAACCAGCAGCTCAGGCTAGCCAGTTTTGTTTTTCTGAAACGTCAGTCTCATCGTGTGCCCGGTCTGTCTGCTGCAGTGGGTGATCTGCTCCACCAAGAGTTCTGGTTGGCACCTAGTGTACGCGGGATCTTCTCAGCCCACTGAACAAGCTTGCATTTCTCAAGATTCTCCAACAGGTCCCTCGAGAGTCCAGTCTAGGACTTATTTCTGAAGGCACTTTAGAACAGCAATATTTTAGGGATGGGGTTTCAGCCCCACAAACAGGCTGGAGGGCTTTGTATAAAATGAATTACAAACAAGCAACAAAAGCAACCACAAGAACTCTCCCCAGGACTTGAGAAAACTGTTTTAAGGCACTGTGACATGAAAAGGGCTGCCAGGGATGTGTTCCTCCCCCCACTTCACAGCCAGCACATAATCGCCCCGCTCCTTGACGACATATGTGACGTTGTATTGCTGGTTGCCTACATGCTTCATAGAGACCTCCTCGCAGGGGGTGGTGGGCCCATGGACCCCGATCAGCAGCATGTTGGAGCCTAGGAGGCAAACGAAGGTGGTTACTCCATTCGGATGCGTCAGGACAGGCACAGGAAGAGGAGGGAGTATGAGAGCCAAAGGTAAGGAGCCTCCGCCATAACGCTGGGGTCCCTGAGAGGTGGGAGAGTGTGGCAATTACAAGCGAAGGCTCATAGAGCCTGACGGTGTGGGTTCAAATCCCTGCCCTGCCACTTGCTACCTGGGTGACCTCGGACTGGAATCTTACCTCTCCCTAGCTCAGCTTCCCCATCTGTAAACAGGGAATGAGAACGACACATACCTCACGAGCTAGTTGTGAGGTTTAAGGAGTGATGGGTGTCAAACCCTAGCACACAGTAAGGGCTATTCTAAGCGTTAGCTATGAGAATCTTCTTGTTTACTCTCACAGGCACCTTAAGGAAGGTACTTCCAAGAAGAGGAAACTGACTTTTGGAAAGAGATTTAATAACTTTCCGAGGTCACATGGCTAAATAAGTTTTATGAACAAACGAATGAATGAATGAAGTGGCAGTACCAGGTTTCCAACCCAGGTGTGCTGGATGCCAGAATCCAGGCAACCAACCCTTGAAACCCAAATAAATACCCAAGTTCAAAAGGCAAAAGAGAAGAAAATCATTTAAAAATATTAAGTGCAGGAGAACAGGGTCATGAACATGGTTACCTGCAAATGGCTGGGTTACATGGGAGTAGGCACTGCAGGAGACCTCAGCAGGGAAGACCAGTGTACCCAGCATGTCCAGCCTGCCCCGCCCCACCCCACCCTTGAAAAGGCCGAGACACCTACCAGCTTTGCTGCAGTCCACCAGGAAGGAACTCTTCTGGCCCACAAAGGCCTTCGAGAGCCCTGCCCCCTTAGAGGTCACCTTGCTGGCGTCTGAGGATGCCTTGGGAATGGCGCTATAGCAGGTCTCTGTAGAAGACCTGGTCACTGACTCCACCAGGATGGACGAGGTCTCATTGGCTGAGCCGGGGCTAACCAGACGCTGGCCTAAGATACGGGAGGGAGGGGGACAGGCGTGAATGGCCAGATCAAGAGGGGTCTCTCAGCCAGAGGACAGGCGAGTACCCTACATAGTAGCCCCAGGAGAGCCCGCGCACCCCAACACCTGGATACAAAAGCCACCACACCCGTATCTCACACCCATAATGTCTTCTAAACCCCTGCGGTCCCACCCCCATACAACTAGGATCTGGCTTTCTGGGCAAATGGATGAGTCTGGCCTCGGCTGACAAGGCCTAGAACCCTCCCAATCCCCCCAGCCCCCATCCCCGCAAAGATGTGCCAGTGGAATTCACATCTTTCCGTTTACGTAAAATAGTCTATGTATAAGCAGAGTAAAATTTTGGATGACATATAATGAAATATCAAAAAATGATTCCGTGGATGAGAAAGGATGATTTTTCTACGTGAATTTTCTAATTTTTCTGCGAGGAACCTACATTCTTTACTTAACAGTGAATCATGACATGTGGAAGGGATTTACTACAGTGTTTATGGTGGTCACCTTGGGTGGTGGCTGTGAACTGGTTTTCATAGTTTGGTATTTTTTCCAGTGTTTTGGAGGAGACACATTTTTATAAGTATAATAAAACCTTTTGATTATTTTTAAAGTGAAAATTAGAAATGAGGGGATTTTTCAGGCCCTGATCTAAACAAATACGTAAGATTTCAATATCTATTCTTTCCTGTTAGAGACAGAAAACTACCGAACATGTTTTCTCAACTTCTGCACGCTCCACTCTGTGGACTTTCGTAAGTTGCAAACACTGCCCTCTGACATCTCATACTATTTACTGACATTCAAAGTTCAAAGTAGCTTTAACACATCTAAAACCATCCATAGTTTCCACTACGATTGATCTGACAAAACCAGCTCCCCAGGAAGGGAGAGTAACTCCGGAGGTAGTTGATCGTTACCTGTCACCTTGGCCTTGAAGGGACTGCCCACAATGTGGTTGGGCCCACCGTATTTGACGCCGATCAGGTAGTTACCAGGAGCCATGGGGGTGTACATGACTTTGTACCCTTCAGGTGTTTCCTGGCAATCCATTTTAACCTTGGACGGGCCTTCGATGGTGACGGATAGTGTCCCCGGACCTGCTCGGGTGGTGTTAATAAAGAATTCCGACTGGATACCTGGGAGAAAGGAATAGAAAATGCTGTGTTGATGGCCCGGAGGGCTTTCCCAGGAGCACTGAGGCCGTGGTGAGGGACACACATAGGTCCCCTCACAGAGAGCTCACCCTGGTGGCATGGGAACCCACCGACACTAGCTCTGAACTTCTGGCAGAGAGAACCTCAGGTCCTGCGGGGTGAGGGCTCCCTTTTCCAGGCCAAGGCAGGAGGAGCATGGCTGACATTTCGCCCACAAGCACCAACAGCCTGGACACCCTGTTCTCTCCTCTGGGCATAAGCCATTGTGGCTGAGGGTGAGAAGCCTGAGTCACACTGTGAGCCTGAAATGCTGCTTCAGCCGCCAGAGCCCAGTTCTCCCTCCAGGGGTGTGGGGGATGCGTGGGCCCCTCTGACCGTCCTTTCTTCTCTGGGTAGACTTGGAGAAGCCAGGGAGGCCAAGCATCTCCTCCCTTCCTCCTCAGCCCTCACCCCAGGCACTGTGCTGCAGATTGGGTGCAGCCACTGTGACCTGCCAGCCCACCCACTTTGCTGTGAATTCCAGCAACAAGCACAGGAACAAAACAGCAGCTCCTGATGACAGGGCATGTGTGCCCCACTCTGGCTCCGGGTCCTGTGCACAGCACCATTGACACATGTGGTATGGAATCCTTTCCGCGATTCCTTCTTCACAAATAACTCTGTGGCTCAGGGAGGGGGCCAGTCGTGCTACACAACTAGAAAGCGGTAGAGCTGGGTTTGAACGATGTCTGCATGGCTCTGGTGCCAGGCTCATCTCTTGACCCCTGGATGGACAGTGGAGCTGCCTCAGATCCCCTAACTGCAGCCCTGAAACAACTTAGCTGGCCCAGGAGAGCCTCCTTCAGTCATCAGGCCTGGCACATGCCCGCTACAGTGCCCTCTATGGGGCATGCCTGGCATAGCATCCCCAGGCAGGGCTGTGCTTCTGCCAGAGCTCTAGACACTGCCCCAGCTGGGAAATATTTTGGTTTAATTATAGCTCCTAGTCCAGAGAAAGAATTATTGTTCTGGATATCAATAAAACAAAAGAGCTGCTATCATGCGACTCTCAAACACAACCCAGCTGTTCCTGGAAGCTCAAGGCTCCTGTCCCAAGGTCCACCCTCCCCACTATCTCAACCTCATCATGGTATCTAATGTGCAGCCAAGAAGCCCCTCAAGCAGCAGCTCTGAGGCCAGGGGCTACGTAGGCAAGAAGCGGGAGGTGAGCAACAAGGAGACAGTGTGTCCATCCAGGAAGCAGCTGTAAGGTGACGATAAGGAAAGATATTTTATTGATTGATTGATTGAGACAGAGTCTCACTCTGTTGCCCAGGCTGGAGTGCAGTGTCATGATCTCGGCTCACTGCAACCTCTGCCTCCCAGGTTCAAATGATTCTCCTGCCTCAGCTTCCTGAGTAGCTGGGATTACAGGCACTCGCCACTATGCCCAGCTAATTTTTGTATTTTTTTTAGTAGAGACAGGGTCTCGCCATGTTGGCCAGGCTGGTCTCGAGCTCCTAACCGCAAGTGATCTGCCCACCTTGCTCTCACAAAGTGCTGGCCTTATAGGCATGAGCCAACGCACCTGGCTTTATTATTAATATTTTTTTGAGATAAAGTCTTCCTCTATTGCCCAGGTTGGAGTACAGTGGCATGATCACAGCTCACTGCAGCCTCAATCTTCCAGGCTCAAGCCATCCTCCTGCCTCAGCCTCCAAAGTAGCTGGGACTTCAGGCATGCACCACCATACCTGGCTAATTTTTTTTTTTTTGTAGAGATGGGGTTTTGCTGTGTTGCCTGGGCTGGTCTCAAACTCCTAGGCTCAAGTGATCCTCCCACCTCCACCTCCCAAAGTGCTAGGATTACAGGTGTGAGCCACTGTGCCAGGCCAAAAATATATTTTTAAAGTGAAGTTGAAATGATGTGGCTGCAGGGGAAAGTTCCACCATTTTTTAACAAGCTGTTTCATACCTAAGTTTGTCTTTATTTTTTTTATTTTTTTATTTTTTTGGTAGAGATGGAGTTTTACTATGTCACCCAGGCTGGTCTCAAACTCCTGGGGCAAGCAATCCTCCTGCCTTGGCCTCCCGAAGTGGTTGGATTACAGGCATGAGCCACCGCACCCATTTGGCCCTAATGCAATATTTTGACCAACCAAAAATCAGTTCATCTTGACTGTGAGGGTCCAAAAGGGCAGAGAAGACAAGGTGGGAAAAGATAAATCAGGGGTTGTGGGACAAGAGCTATTACTTGGCTGTTACCTCCTCTATGGTTCCAAACAAGCCTATTAGGTGGGTCCCGTTATTATTCCTGTTTTGCAGGAAAGGAAGCAGAGGCACAGTGAAGTCAGATAATTCATCTGGAGTCACACGGCTGGGGACCAGCAGAACTGGGATTTAAACATAAAGTCTGTCCAACTTGGAGCTAAAGCACTTACTTGAGAGAAGATGGAAGAAAAAAATCCACAAGCAGAAGTCTGTCACCACTGCCTCTAGCTACAACCTGTATCTGACACCACAAAACATCTCTGGGCACGGCGGTCTTCCCCCACCCCCTCAAATACATCCGGCCCAGTTCCTGTGAGTTTAATGCACATTAAATGCAGCACCTCTTGTTCTTCAAGGCAGGTAAGGGGATAGAAGGAGGGAAGGAGGCCCTTCTGGTATACCCCGAGCACACTGGGGTTCCTGGATCATTTTATTAGGAAAATTGCTCAGCGGCTCCAAAGAATCGGGAGCTCCCTGGTCTATCTCCCAGCCTCTCAAGCCTCCTCCAGCAGGGTCCCGCCTCAAATTCTCCACATTCCACTATTCCAAAATCTACAGAATGGACCATTTAAAGCTTGAGCCAAGAGATACAGCACACTCACCCATAAAAACAGAGGGAGGTTTGCTTTGTTCAGAAGGTCAGGATACTGGGCACTCTGGCAGCCGAGCACAGATACCTTTTCATTCCATGCACACTGCAGCTGTGTAATCTCAGAATGGATATTTAGGGAAAGGCTTGGGAGCAGGAGGGCTGGAAAAACAAGACGCCTTCCCTGTGACAAAGGCAATATTTACACAGGGTTTGAAGCAGGCGGTTCTGTACCTCTCCCCTCCTGGCTGGGAGCTTCCCTGCAAGAGCAGCTCCTTCTCTCAGCAGCGTCCAGCACTTGCAGAGCACAGCCTGAAACCTAAGCTCCCAAAAGGTGTGTGAACAGCCAAAAGGAAATGGGAGAGGGCCCAGGCACAGCCGCATGAGCCAGCAGGAAGGTGAGATGCTTCCTGGCCAGTGTGGGAGACCCCAGCAGCTGCTGTGGGGCCTGACCTGAAGCCTGCCACGCGCTCCAAGTGCCTAGAGGACCCCACCTGGGCCCTCAAAGGTGAGTAGCTTGTCAGGGCCCAATTGCCAGTACTGCTGCCTGGAAAGTACTCCTGAGCAGCTGGGAGGACAGGGTCCTGGTTTAGGACACCCCAAAGTGGGCTGGGGATGCAGTCACTGCCTCTGGGTGAGCCAGCCACTTAGAGAGGGGGCCAAGCTCGGGGGTTCAGCGCACAGGCTCTGAGGTCACAGATTTGGATGGATTCCTGGTTCTGCCTCCTCCCAGCTGACTGCTTTTTGGGGGAGTGTTTGTTTGGGGAGTGACTCAACCTCTGCACCTCACTTTCCACGTCTGTAAAATGGACATCGCCTATGGTAAAATGATACCATGCCTTTCACAAAAGGCAAGCTGCAGGCCCAGAGTTCAGGGTGGAGCCAGACTGGATTTGCCTGGGGAGTCTGGCAGCACTCACACCACCCCTGTGGGTGGCTTTGCTGAGGCCACTGCTTTGGTCAGAGTCCCGGGCAGCCTGCCAGCCCACCAGTCACTCCTGCACCTGGAGAGGGGCCCTTGGTCACACAGGACACTTGCTCCTGGGGCTGGATGCCAGGCAACCATGCAGTCACTCACCCCTCACCCCTGGGAGGCAAGTCTGCTCCATCCCACTCTCCTTATGCGGGGTGGGGGTACACACACGAGAGACTCAAGAAACCCGGACATATTGCTTTCCCAAGGGGGTCCAAAGTAACACCAAATGCAAACATGCCCCAGTGAGTCCACACTGCGCACTTCAACTGCAGAGACTAAGGACCGGCTCTCCACCCTGGCAGCCTCCATAACAGTGACGCACTCACTGCACACCACCCGATGCCACCTGTTCAAATAACCGTGATTCACAGCAGGAATTCTCACACAGCCAGGAAAAGGAGGGGAAGATCTGTTCTGACATGGAAAGATCTTTAAGAGGTCAAAGCAAAAACACAAGCTGTATCACAGTAGATGCAGTAAGATTCCTTCTGTAAGACAAAAGCAAAACTCTGTGTCTGCTTGTCTAATGAACCGATTAGCTAACCAACCCAGCAACCAAGAATGAAGACAGACAATGAGATGACAGACAGGGTGAAGGCCCTCCCTTCCTGGAACCGTTTGCTTCTGGACCCAGGTGGGGGAGGAGGAGAGAAGATGATGGAGTGAGTCCCACTTTATTTACTTCTTCGCTGCCTGTATTTTTCACAATCAAACATGTCCCATCTGTGGCAAAGAATAAAAATAAATTGCAATGGGTCCAAAAAGCTTCAGAATTCCTTGACCATTTCAGTCTTTTCTCCTCCTCCATTAAGATCTGAGAGTAAAAAGAGGAGGAGATAGGCTGGGACAGGTCTTACTGCTGCTTCAGTGCACTTCTGGGAGCCCGGTACCATGAAAGAACAGATGGGTAGGAGCCCCCTTGGACGCATCATGAATTCTGTGTAGGCAAAGAAACCCTCAAAATTAATGACACTGTGCTGTGTTCCCTGACTATCAGCATCCTGTTCTGAAAGTCAAGAAACCTGGCAGAGGAAGAAATCTGAATCACAACTAACAGTAATGAGGTGTGACAACACAGCCATCAAGCTCTTACTCTGAATTTATCACGGGCCAAACCGCAACTCCCAAAACAGCTTTGGACAGCAAGCGCCTCCAAAGTGTGCATGACCCCAGTTTCCATGGAAAGCGCGTGTAAAAAGCTTCCATGGGGCTTGAGGATTTCCATCTGGCTTGTCCGTGGAGCTGGTTCAGTTAAGGCTTCAAGAAGCAGAGGAGTAGGTTACCTGTGGTGCCCCCTTCGAGTCCTGCGCCATAGGCGGACACCAGGGCAGGGTTCCCCGCTTGTCCGGGCTCCCCAACGCGCACTTTGAAGGGGCTTCCAACCACGTGGCTCCCATTGAACTTGACATCGATGGTGTGAACACCATTCTCATGAGGGATGAAGCGAACAGCGTACTTATCTAGAAGAATGAGCAAAGGCACAGGGTGAAATCAGGCAAATGGACACCCCCGAGTTCAGTGAGGACAAAGGATGGAGGCCAACCCGAGATGGCCCATTTAAAATCAACAGTTCTACAGGGAGCCTGGCACTCAGCATCCTGGATTTCAGAACCAGACGGACCCCCCTGGGTATCCCTCATCAGCCCCAAGGAAAACACATCCACATCGCAAATCCTATAAACACAGGACAAGACTCTGACCCCTGCCTCAGAAGACCCCTTCCTTTCTTTAGAAAACCTCACTTTTTGAATGTGAAATTCCGTGAGTGCTGTTACTAATCCTGTCACAAGATGAATCTCATTTCACCAAAATTAAATGATGTTTTTCCACGAAAACGATGATACAAGTTGAAGACACATCACTCTGAAATTGGAAGACCTCACCACTTAAGGCTCCACAGTGGCCTACTCAGCTGAACTCTAGGTTACTACCCTTTACTTCATTCACCCATTGCGGGGGTTCAGTTTTTTTTTAAATGTTGGGAGATGGCCATTCTAACTACTGTTGAAAGTCTCTGTTTTGGGAAGGCATAACAAGAATTTAAAAAGAATATATATGAAGGGAAAAAAGAAGACCTCGCTTCTTCTACATTTCTCTATGTGGCCAGTTAAAGGGGGAAAAATGGTTCCAACTGGCATTAATGCTCCTTAATTAAGCTCAAAGCTAGGAACTGCCCCACAGGGCAGGTTTTTGGCTGTGCGTTTGGGTCACAGCATGTAGCAAGGTAATCTGTTAACTGAAATGGGCACCTAGAACATCTACTCATTGTGCACCACCTGACCACCACTTCCTCCTTGAAGCCCTCCTGCCCGGGGTGCAGAGCCTGTTCTCCTCCTGCCTCTCCAGGTAGTTTCTCAGTCTCTCCCTGGCTCCTAGGACTCTTCATCCCTCTCAGAATTTGTGTTCCCCAAAGCTCTTCTCCCTGCCTCTGGAGGTCTCCACAGAGGTGCATCTCCATGGAGCTGTGCACCCTACATCCTTTGGCACTGAACATCCCCCAACAGTCCCCTAGCTAGGTCCCCATCTGCCTCCCTGAGAGCCAATGTGCTTTAGGGGAAGCTGGCTCTACCGCCACATCCAAGTGTAGTCCCTGAGTGGATCAGGGAAAAATCCTTCGCTAAGCCTTCGTCAATGAACACAGGGCACTTCTTTAGCCACAGGCAATGACTCAGCAGTGGGCATGTGTCCAGGTCAGTGAGATGGGAAGGGAGATGTGCTGGAGACTTCTGGGAAAAGGAGCCTCTCGACTTCTAAGAATCCTGAGAGGATTCTTTTTTTTTTTTTTTTTTTTTTTTTTGAGACGGAGTCTCGCTCTGTCACCCAGGCTGGAGTGCAGTGGCCGGATCTTGGCTCACTGCAAGCTCCGCCTCCCGGGTTCACGCCATTCTCCTGCCTCAGCCTCCCGAGTAGCTGGGACTATAGGTGCCCGCCACCTCGCCCGGCTAGTTTTTTGTATTTTTTTAGTAGAGACGGGGTTTCACCGTGTTAGCCAGGATGGTCTCGATCTCCTGACCTCGTGATCCGCCCGTCTCGGCCTCCCAAAGTGCTGGGATTACAGGCGTGAGCCTGAGAGGATTCTTAACTGATGTGGCGTGAAGGTGGGACATCTGGTGCTGCTGGAGCCATCCTGCCACCAAGAGGAAGGCCAGCCTCAGAACCAGGCCCACAAAGCAGAACATCAGAGATATTTGAGGCCTTGCAGGGCCCAGCTCAATGACCAAATCAAATCGCTGAAACCCATCTTGGATCTCTTGAACTTTCCAGTTATGTAACTCACTGGGCCCCTTTATTGTGTGAGTTGGCTTGAGCTGGGCATCTTGTAATTTGCAATCAATAGTAACTGTGTCATGCTAATGATCTCATACATCTGTAGGGGTTCAAATCCTGCCTGGGGTGGAGCCAGCTTCTCCTGAAGCACATTGGCTTTAAGAGAAGAGGGAGGGTACCCAGTGAGGGACTGTTGGGGCTGAGGCCACCAAACCTCACAGTGATCTAGTAAACATCTCCATGTGGGTGTCGGGGATCCTTCAAAACCCCTCAAAGCAAAATATTAAACCCTTTAAGGCCCTGACCAATCCTCACCCACCCTCTGCCTGGCTGGCCCTAGTTCTGACAACTGTACTGTCATCTGCCGCCCAATCACTAAGCTACACGGAACATTTTGGAATGGGTTCTCTCTCTCATTCTCTGTGGCTACCATAGCGCTCTGGCCTTCTCCATTTCCAGTGCTGCTGCTTTCTCAAATGGACCACTCTGGGAGCACCAGCTCGCCACCTGGCCTTTCGGGCTAAAACCGGGATCTGACCCCATCCTTCACACTTGTTCCTCCTGAGGCTCCCCACTGCCCTTTCTGACTACTGGGAAACATAGATCTCAATGTTCACACAGAGCCTACATTTCTTTTTCTTTCTTTTTGAGACAGGGTCTTGCTGCATTACCCAGGCTAGAGTACAGTGGCATGACACAGCTCACAGCAGTCTCGACCTCCTGGGCATAAGCAATCCTCCCACCTCATCCCTCACAAGTAGACTACAGGTATGTGCCACCGTGCCTGGCTAATTTTTTTTTTTTTTTTTTTTGAGACAGAGTCTCGCTCTGTCGGAGTGCAGTGACGCGATCTCGGCTCACTGCAAGCTCTGCCTCCCGGGTTCACGCCATTCTCCTGCCTCAGCCTCCTGAGTAGCTGGGACTACAGGCACCCACCACCGCGCCCGGCTAATTTTTTGTATTTTTAGTAGAGACGGGGTTTCACCGTGGTCTCAATCTCCTGACCTTGTGATCCGCCCACCTTGGCCTCCCAAAGTGCTGGGATTACAGGCGTGAGCCACGGCGCCCGGCCGGCTAATTTTTTTTTTACTTCATTTTTGTAGAGAAGGGGTCTCACTATGCTGCCCAGGCTGGTCCCAAACTCCTGGGCTCAACTGATCCTCCCAAAGTGCTGGGATTACAGATGTGAGCCACCATGCCTGGTCAGAGCCTAGATTTCCAACTACACTATACAAATATAGCCAGGCACACAACAAATGCCCTATAAGGCAGTGATCATAGGTCTCCCCCTCATACATCAAGGCCCACACCAAATGTCACCTCCTCTGAGAAGCCCTCCTGAACTCACCAAGGCAGAAACTATTTCTCTCTCCTGCTCTGACCATCTTTACCATTTGCTTCTCAGTTCTCCTGTGGTAATGGCGATCATCTGGGGTCATCATCTGCTTTTTGGCCAGGACTTCATAAACTGTGAGCAACTCTTTGAGCCCTATACCTTCCTTCAAGTTTCTGACACTTAATAAATGTATTATGTTCACCGGTAACACTGTCTCTTTAAAGTTGATTAAATCCATATACCAAGGCACCAAGCAAGAAAAATCTTAGGACATTAGGGCCTAGAGACCCAGATTTTCTTTTTTAATTTATAGAACATTAACCTACCTTTCCCTTAGAGTAAAGTGAGATCAAAGTATGCTTACTCACGTCATAAGGTCAACGATATAATAAAAATCTATAAGATGTTGTTACAATATGTAAGAAAAATCATGATGAATGTCATGCAAAAGGAATCTGAAAAACTAACAGAAAACAAAGCAGCATTTGTTTTTGTGTTGTGTGTGTATGCTTCTTCTTGTTGTTGTTTTTTGTTTTTTGTTTTTTTTTTGAGACAGGGTCTCGCTCTGTCGCCCAGGCTGGAGTTCAGCGGCACAATCATAGCTCACGGCAGCCTTGGCCTCCCAGGTTAGGGCATTGCACCCTGCCCAGCATTTGTTTAAAAAAGAAAGAAAGAATGAGAATTCTCTCCCAGGGTAAAGGGTCTGCCTATTCCTGGTACAGGTTTAAACGCTAATTTATAAACAACATCTGGCAATAGCAAAGGGAATCCACTACTCACTGGCAGTAATGAAACCGATCAGCCCTCCTTTGGGACGCACATTTACAAGAACATTCTGCTGGAAAGTGCTGGTGCTAGGACCCCCCAGCAGGCCTCCTGCTCACCTGGCTCCAGCTCAGACACGTGGCACTCCTCCACGGCTCCAGAGGGGCTGTGCACCTTTGCATCAATCTTGCCTTTTGCGCCATTCAACCTTATAGCAAAGGATGCTGGCTGGTTAACTTTTAATCCCGATTCCTGAGAATTTAATACATTAGACAGGTTATGGCCCTCAGCGTTCCTGTTCAGTGGCACACACTGACCCTACCCAAAACTCTGGGTGACAGTTCTCATGCAAATAGGCCCAGAATGTTTTTCTATATAACATATGACAACAAAAGAGCAGGTGAGCCATTCTGCATTTTTAACGTAAGACAGCAGAGACGTGCATCTGCATGGTCTCCTATGCAAACCATCTTGATACAGCCTGGAAGAGATGATTTCTAGGTTTGGATACTTGAGACATCCTGGTCAAAAGGACTATCATCTCAGCATTCAAAATAATACCTATGCAGGCCAGAAAACCCAGTATGTTCCAGGTCAAAAAAGTATCCTCTTTTAGGAGGATACTGGCAGCTAACAAAGTCATGCACTCACGAACACAAACACAGTTTTATGTTATGCTGTTTGTTATCTCAAGGGCAGACCTGGAGGAACATATTATAAAGGGCCACATGTGCAAAGAAGGCGGTACTCCATAGCAGTTACAAATCAGCCCTGGATTTCCTACCATTTCCTAGCTATATATCCAGGTTGCCAAACCTCTTCGAGTCTTGGTTTCCTCATCTGTAAAATGGGCATAATAACGATCCATCTCGAGGGCTACTATAAAGATCAAATTAAGCTGTGCATGCAAAACATTCAGCACAGGGCCTAGCCCATATACAGAGAGGCTGGAAAACATAAGCTTATTAAATATTAATATGCATTTAGAGGTTGTATCCCCACAAGAAGTCATAGAAAGACATAGCTTTTGCTCTTCTCTGGATCAGTTTCACTCCCCATACTTTGTCTTGGAAACTATCTCCTCTTCTGGGAGGAGGGGATCAGAAGTTCAGATGGTTAAGAACAAAGCTGAGCAACAACATTGGAGATATTTTAAGACTGGCCAATCCCAAACAGCAGCATTTTACAAGTCAGTAATTTTGATTTAGACTTGGTCGGACAGCCACTCCTCAGGCAATAACTCTAAAGCAGCATGGTTCATGCTTTATGTGTAAGCAAACCATCTGGGGATCTTATTAAAACGCAGATTCTGATCCAGTGGGTCTGGGACTGAAGTTATCAGGTGATGCTGAGGTCCAAGAACTGGTCCAAGAACCACATCTTCATGGCAAGGTCCCAAAGCTGCACTGGCTAATTTGGTAGTCACCAGCCACATGTGGCCATATATACATATATTTCAATTTAATGCACTTAAATAAAACTAAACGTCCAGCTCCTTGGTTCCTCTGGCCACATTTCAGATGTTCAATGGTCGCATGTGGTTAGTGGCTATCATGCTGCACAGCATAAACTTGGAGCATTTTGATCACGGCAGAACCTACTATTGGACTGTGCTGCCCTAAGGGATAGAGACTGAGGAAGGTGGATGGAACACAGAATTAGAAAGTCTTTGATCACCAGATCACTCCCATCCCACCCCCACCCCAAATGCCAGCCTACTCCCATTTCCTAGAAAGTCTCAAAAGCAAGACAAAATGATACATGCCAGTCTTTGCTAACCAGCCCCAGATGTTGCTGCGTGGGCCTCTGCGAAATCTCTGATCAATAATTTCCATATCACTCGGCATCAAATGACCCGGGAAGAACAGGGGGCGTGCTGATGAACACGCCCCTCCTGCGGCAGCAGCTGGTTACAAAAGCTTGAGAAACAGCCTGCTGTGTACTTACTGAAACATTTATGACCCAGCTATGACGAGAGGACTCTACAGAAAAGCTTCCTGGAGAGGATTTTTCCAAACCAGCTCCTTTTAGACAGCATAATTTACATTACCTGATTCCGCTTGCCACTAAATCCTCAAGAGGGAGATAAATGCCTCGGAAGATTCGAAAGAAATCTTCGAGATGCATGAGGGCAGCTCCTGCCCTCAACAAGTGCTGGGTTTATCTCCCTCTGTAGGTTTCAGTTAAGTTGGTCACAAAAGACACTTCTGTTAAGAAGCCTTTAAATGAAACACAAGAAAAACATCTACACCACAGTAACCAGTTAGTACCCTTGGTATTCTCTGGATGAGGCCGCTTCAATGTGTGGACTGAGTCTGGTCTGGGTTCTGTTTACGTCCCTAAATGAAAGACTAACGTTTGGAACTACTGGAGGTATCCCAGTTCCCCTCAGAGTAAGATTAGAATCTCAAATGTAAACCAAGTGTAGAGAACTAGAGCCAATCATATCACTGATCTTAGACATCAGATTGGATTTTAATGAATCCAATATTTTCAAGAACTGGGGGCAGCTCAAGGCTATTTAGAAACTCTTACCCAGAAATCATACTTTGGGATTTCAGTGTTATTTCACAACTTAATTGCTACTCCCAATTCAGACACCTAATTATTTTTCAGTGTCCTGGGCAAAAACCCAGAGGCATCCCTGATGGTTCTTCGTTTGGCTGAAGGTGCTAGTGCAACCTTGAATTAAGTGACCTGTTTAGGACGATGAGAAACGTTGCATCTCCTGGTATCCTAATGGGATGGACTATGCAACCGTGTGCCACAACGACAGGTGGGGGTTAGAGAGGTTGTAGTTAAGGGCACAGGTTCTGGCCGGGCACAGTGGCTCATGCCTGTAATCCCAGCACTTTGGGAGGTTGAGGGGGGTGGGGCGGATCACCTCAGGTCAGGAGTTTGAGACCAGCCTGGCCCACATGGCGAAACCCCATCTCTAAGAAAAACACAAAAATTAGCTGAGTGTGATGGTGCACGCCTGGAGTCTCAGCTACTCAGGAGGCTGAGGCAGAAGAATCACTTGAACCTGGAAGGCAGAGGTTTCAGTGAGCCAAGATCATGCCACTGCACTCTAGCCTGGATGACAGAGTGAGACTCTGTCTCAACAACAATAACAAACAAAAATACAGGTTCTGGAGCCACACTGCCTCTGCTCTGCCTCATACTAGCGGTTCCCAGTGGACAAAACCTCCTTGTACCTCTGTTTTTCCGTCATTAAAATGGGGTCAAGAGAACCTACTTGTCAGGCTATTGCAAGGATTTCCTGAGGTAACACTGATAAAGCTCTTAACATAGTTCCCTGCACACTTATTATAAATGAATCATAATAAATTGCAACTGTCTTTCTTGAGGAAGGGCAGCCAACAACAGCAGGCTAAAACATCACTGCACTGTTATTTTTGTGTTGGTTTTGTTTTGAAAGCCCTTGTTATCCCTTAACCAATTATGAACAGGCTTCCTTTGTTTCTCTTAAATAAACCTTTAAAAACAAACTTGTCCCCAAACATTAAGGTGTGTTGTTGACTGTGGCTCTGTTTTTGCTCGCCCCAAGTGTCATCTGCCCTAAGTGTATGGGGAGTTGATTCTGCCGCAGGAAAGCTCCCCAGTGACTGGGTGACATCTGTGGTCAAAATGTGAGAAGGGGCCTCAGCACCTAAGGGGACATTGAAGCGGCCTCAGGAGTCCAGGGGTCTCACTGGCGGCCTGTGGCCAAGGAGATGGATGCTTCCTTGCATCTCACCTGAAGGCTCATAACAGTGAGGCGGCGGGCGTCGTCAGAGGGCGCGATGACCGGCACCAGGTAGGGGCTGTCCGGAATGTGCTCATCATTGAACTTGATGGACACCTCGTAGTTACCTATGAGGACAGGAAAGTCCCATCATTTCAGAGACTCTGAACCCAGAGTGACCTCTTGCTTCTCACCAAGGGCTAAAATGCCTTCAGAGAGACCCAGCCCTCCTCAATGGCCACAGCTGATTGGTTGAGTGGGAGTTGCCTGGCTGAGGCTGGGCCAATATGATTTCCTTAGTGGGGCAAAGCCAGGGACTCTTAACCGGGGCCCACAGGGTCCCCAGATGGCCTGTGTATTGAATTCAGGAGATCCATGGACTCGAATGGGAAAAAAACTACATTTTAATTTTCACCATCCACTAACTGAAATTTACCATGTCTTTTCTTGAGAAATGTTGACAAGAAATCACAACACATTGTAAGTACATATTACTTATATCATCATTAAAAATTATAGATGTTTTTATGTCATTTTACAGTTATTTTGACATATCATTTTCACTTATTACTTTGCTACTTTGATGACAGTTAATATATTGTCACCAAATCTTATGATTTAATGTATTAATGAAGATATGCATGTTTCTATGTTGCATATTTGTTCTTATAAGATTTTGGTAACTGTATTTAGTATCATTGATTTCCTTTATAATGTGACATATTTCATTTTATGTGTTTTAAAACATTATCCCAAGAACAGTCCCCATAGGCTTCGCCAGATGGCAAGAATTAATGGCACACAAAAGGTTAAGAACTCCTGACAGAGGGAGCTCAGATGCCAAGGTCACTCTTCTGGGGCAGCCAGCCAAGGTAGCCATGGGTGGGCAGACAAAGGCCGGTCGGTGGAAAGAATGGAGCAATTGAATGAAAGCAAGAAGCAGAGAGGCTAATGGAGAAAGACAAGAGGCAACCAGAACAAGCGTTCCCACCCTTAGGAGGTCTGGCCATGTATCTTGCAACTGGATTTCTAGGAGGCTCTCCCATGTGCCCATACACATAGAATCCCCATTGACTTCAGCAAACTTGATGGATTTCTGTTCCTTGCAACCTAACCATGTTCAAACAAGGAAAATGTCCTCTTGTGAACCCTGAATACATACCAGGCTCTTGGGCAATATAAGACACACCGCACGACCCATTTTTATGGTCATCGAATGTAATCTCAGCCTTACTGGGGCCCTCAACAGCGATGGAGAGGCCTCCAGCACCTGCTTCCCGGGTCCAAATGCTGAACTCAGCTGAGAGCAAAGAGACACCTGGTTAGTGACTGAGCCCCACAGAGCCCCTGCCCCTCTTCTATTCTTGTTCAAACCTGCAGCGCTAGGTTTTGTTTGTTGCTAGCCCTTTTCTCTTTCTCTCACCCCAAGGAGAAACCAAGCAAGGGCCATCATTGAAGTTTCCTAAGCATCACTAGCGATATCTAAATTCATAGGACATCTGGAGTACTCTTGAAGACATCTTAACAGGCTGGGCGCAGTGGCTCATGCCTGTAATCCCAGCACTTTGGGAGGCCAAGGCAGGAGGGTCACAGGAGCCCAGGAGTTTAAGACCAGCCTGAGTAAGATAGTGGAACCTCATCTCTAACAAAAAAAGGAAAGAAAAAAAATATTAAATAAAAATTTTAAAAAATGTGAATACACCCTAACCAAGCCAGAAAAAGATGAGAATGTTCCATTTTTTCCCCACAGATCTTCCCACCAGCAGCAACCTTAGGAAAGGATGCTTATAGTCAGTTTTGTAGCTTTCTAGTGTGTTCCACAGAACATCAGCCCTGAAAGATGCTCTGGAAACAGTATTACTCTGCTCCCCAATTAGAGACTCAGATGCACACTAGTAAGTTACAGGCACCAACGAGGCTCCCAGTAAGAAACTTGTTTGGCTTTACGTGAGTACACAAAGTGTGCCAGACTTAGTCACAAATGCCTTGTTTTAAAGAATGCCCCTTAATGCCACCTATCAGAAGTCTTCTCTTTCAAATAGGGCAAAAAAGTATGTGGGTGCCCACACTGCCTGGGTTCAACTCATATTCTTCCCAGGTGAAAATCCTGCCCGGAATGCTCACCTGGGACTCCCGCTTCTCCTCTCTCCAGGCCAGGGCCTCCTGCCCGCACCTTGTGGGCACCTCCTTCACCAAGTGGCCCCACGGTGAACTGGAAGGGGCTGCCAGTGACGTGCTGCCCGCGGTACTTGACGCTGACCGTGTGCATGCCCATCTCCTGGGGCACAAACCGGACGCAGTGCGAGTTCTTCCCCATGGGTACAATCTCCGCTTCAGTCACACGGCCAGAGGGGCTGGTGACGTGGGCCGACATATCACTGCTGTTGATTTCTGAAAGCGGGAGGGAGGTTGGGGGAGAGAAGAGGGTTAGGGCAAGGGCCTGAGACGGGGCAGGACATGCAGGGCAAGCAGCCGAGAGCAAGGTGTACGCAGCCCAGTGGACATGGGGTGCCCAGATTTCCTTCCCTTCAGGCTGGGTGCCTGCCCTCCTGTGGCCAGCATGGAGTGGGCAGGGACCTTCAGGCCACCCATGCTAGGGGCACTGAGACTTCTTGCCAAAGGTGACGTGGTCATCCATCATGCATAGATGGGCTCCTTTCCACAGGTAGGGAAGGGTAGAAAACAAGAGCCGTCATCCCTTACTGTCAAGAAGCTTTGGCATTTCTATTAGGCAACAAGACAAAGTTAGAGAAAAAGGTGAACATTCGTCAGTCCCAATGGCAAAAGGGAAACCATGCGTGAGCAAAGCTTTGAGCAAACCAAAGACCAGGGGCTATACTTTCAGAAAAGCAATGTCTCGGGTCACCAGCGCTAGGACACAAGACCACATCACTCTACGTGAGCTGCTCACGTCATGCCAACGACTGTGCCTGTACTGCCGTGGTGAGGCCAGGTGGCCGCAGGCGGGGCACGGAGCACTGCCATCACCTAGAGCCAGTATGAAACTGCACCCTCCAGCCCCACAGGATCTGGGCAGAGCAGTTCATGACTCTGACCCCTGAGGACAGAAAAGGGAAGGGAGGTTGAAAAGAGGGTCATCCATGTTATGAACTGAATGTTTGTGTCCCTCCAAAATTCGAATATTGAAACCCTATCCCCAACAATGTGATGGGATTAAGAGGTGGGGCCTTGGGGAGGCAATTAGGATTAGATAAGGTCAGGAAAATGGAGTGACCCTGTGATGGGATCAGTGGCCTTATAAGAGTCTCAGACAGCTTGCTCCCGCTGCTCTCCAGCATGTGATGATACAAGGGGACGCTGTCAGTCTTCAACCTGGAAGAGGGCCCTCACCACAATCTGGCCATGCTAGTACCTGATCTTGGATTTCCGGCCTCCACAACTGTGAGGCATACATTTCTGTTGGTTGCCACCTAGTTCATGTGATTTTGCTAAAGCAGCCCAAACTAACGACGATGCCCTGCAAAACCTGGGTCTGGAGGACATCTGGTTAGTGAGCTGTCCTCCATTAAGGAGGAGGGGATCTCTGAGAGGATCATTTGGGTAATGAGGGGAAAACTGAGCCTCACCCAGAGTCATCTGGTACTAAGTAACTAAAAGAATAACAAAAAGAGACTTAAGAGAAAGGGTAAACGTCCACGCTGCACAGATACTTGCTAGTTCCTCATGAAACAAATAAGCAGAGAACAGGACAGGTATTTTGCCAAATGAGAAATGTAAAGCAAATGAAAAGAAAACACAGTACATATAACTAGTAATTGAAGATATGAAACTGAATACTGGACACCATATTTTTCCATCAGGTTGGCCAAAGTGAGAAGAGACAGCCCCACTGCTGGTAGGGGAGTATGCAGAAATGTGGAGGGCGGTCTGCCAAGGTGTGGCAGCGTCTGAAATGCACCAGCCCAGCCCACTCCTGGGCATCCGGCCCACAGCCTGAGCACAGGGTGGCAAATGTCAGAGCAGCCCTGATGATAGGAGCTGAGGCACAGAGATGAGTAACGAAGGTTGATGCATCTAGACATGAAATGGAATCTCTCTTTTTCTATCACCAACAGTTCCATTGAATGAAATGGCATTTTATCTGGGTCATGAGAGAGATGATGTGGATGTCTATTTTTTGAGGTGGGAAGATGCCCACAAAAACAGTGGATGAGGAGTACACCGATGTGACTGGAAAGTGAGCACACATGGCTGTGAGGACGGAGCAGCCAGGGTCCAACTCTGCACCTAAGATGTGAGCCAGGCTCTCTCTGGGAGGTGACACTTCCTCCCTCCACCTTGAGGCACACAAACTGTTTACGACCAGAAATGATCAGTACAGCTTTTTTTGTTTTGAGAAAGTCTTGCTCTGTCGCCCAGGCTGGAGTGCAGTGGCGCAATCTCAGCTCACTGCAACCTCCGCCTCCCAGGTTCACACAATTCTTGTGCCTCAGCCTCCTGAGTAGGTGGGACTACAGGTGCCTGCTGCCACGCCCTGCTAATTTTTGTATTTTTAGAAGAGATATGGTTTTGCCATGTTAGCCAGGCTGCTCTCAAACTCCTGACCTCAGGTGATCTGCCCGCCTTGGCCTCCCAAAGTGCTGGGATTACAGAAGTGAGCCACCACGCCCGGCCCAGTCAAGCTCTTCTTAAGTGATCATGTCTAAACTCTACAGTAATGAGGCTCTGCCACATTCCCATGTGACCCAATGTTGATGTGACTACACAAGAAGAACCCGTTAACTAAAGCCAAGAAGGCGGAGTCGACAGCTCCCTGACACGTTAGGAAGGATGGGAGGTGCAGTGTAGAAAGACAGCCCCCTCTCCAGAGCTTGCAACACAAGCTCCATCTGAAGACGATTTATATTTCCCTTCTCTGTGCAATTCCATAGGACATGTCAACTTCTGGGCAGAGGAGCCTCAAAACTTTCACTCACAGTGACTTCTCTCTGGAAGGATTCTTTATAGAAAGAACTTGGGCCACATTTCAGACAGACTGTGTGACCTGTTGACTGGCTAATTGGGGCCCATGAGGAACGATTCACCGCCAAAGGGCTAGATGTGGCCCAGTGAGATCTGCAGCACAGCCCTCGTTCTAATTTCAGGAAGGAAAGAGAAATACTAGAAGGATGCCGCTGGGCTGCCACCTCTTAAATACTTCCAGACACTGGCATCGGCTGGGCCAGTTCTTTCACTGACATGATTCTGTTTGACAGATAGTAAATCTAAAAATCTGAAAGCATATCTACGTTTCCCCCATGTGACCCAATAAAGTTATTTTTATTTGGAATTGGAAAAAGGTAGCGAGGTAAACAGATTTATTATTCTTGGATGAGCCTCTGTGAAAATAAACATAGAAGAAAATTATGAAATGAAGTGAAATGAAAAGGTCAGCACAGCCGACTTGGATACTGTGTTCTAGGCCATGCCTAAACTTGGTTCCCAAAGGCACCCACTGCCCTGAGGTCTGGAGCCAAGGCTTCCCCGCCCCACTAGTTCCCGACACCCACCTGGGATTTTCAGGTTCAGGTCACAAATGCTCCCGACAGTGGCCACGGACGGGGCCCGACTGGTGCGGGTGATGCTCTCTTTGACTCTTCCCTCACCGCTGATCTTCACGGTAAATGGGCTCCCTGCAAGACCCAAGAAGGCTCCTGTGAGCAGCCCAGAGGCCGAAGCACAGCATTTACAGAAAACCCAAGCATCCCATCTGGAGGGGAACGGAATACACATACCAGGCACGTGCTCATCAGCAAATTTGGTGGAGACGATATAAACCCCAGGCACAGTGGGGAAGTAGGAGACTTTGCAGGTGCCATCTTCCAGGTCCTCTGTCTGGATGTCTACTTTGCTGGGGCCTTCCACTGCCAAGGATATGCCACCATAACCTGCAACACAGCAGCCCCAGGCTGTTCTGACAGCAACTCCTCAGGAAGAGGGAGCCCGATGAATGGAGAAAGGACATCGACCCTTACGCTTCAGTCTATTTCTACATAGCAGAAAGAAAGCAATGGCGGCCTCATTTGCAGAGCCCAGAGGGGGATGAGTAGGTTAAGCGCCCTGAGAAGTCCCATAGTGAAATAACCTGCTGAACCTGGTTTTGACCACAGAACGCTTTCCTCAAGGGTATTTACTAATACCCCATAGATGATGTGCCCTGTGCAAACTGCTGGAGAGGACCTTCTGCCCTCATGCCTCCAAGAACTGCACGTACCACCTCGGGGGTTTATCCACAGCCAGACCTGAGATTCTGAATTTTTAAACAGCCCCTGGCTACCTCAACTAGGTCAGCAGATCTGAAGGTTTAACAGGGAGTATCTCCCAACCAGGACCAGAAATTCTCCAGCCCTCTCCCCTGGGTTAGAATTTGTCTAGAATTCACCAGTGTGGCCATGCCTCAAGAAAGCAGATGGCTGGACGCACTGGGGTGTGGCGAGCTTAGAAGAGACACAATCTAACTCAAACCATCTCAAAGAGAGAAGAGAAAGAGATGCCTCATTTCCACAAAAGCTCTGCTCAGATGACCATGGTCTTGGCCAGCCAACCCAACATTCTTTGCTTGGAGAGACGCTGGGAAGCTGAGAACAAGGGTGGGAGAACAGATGAGAAAACAGGGGTTTGCGAGGTGTTATGGCTCTGGGTTCAGATCCTAGGGCAGAGGGGGCTGTAAGCCCTGTGAGCCTCAGTTTCATCATCTAGAAAACAAAGACAATCCTATTTTTGCCAATGGTCATGAGGCATAAAAGAAAATGCAGGCAGAAGGACCTATAGCTTGAAGGATGCTCAGGAAGGAAAAGGAGTTGGTAGGATGAAAAGATGACACTGATTCAGCAAAGTAAGTCTGTTCCCACAAGCTCTGGGCCTCTCCCTTGGGACCACACAGACCTGCATCCCTTGTGTCCACGATGAAGTCAGACATCTCGAAAGTCCGGCCTTCTGACAGGCCACGGCCATAGACTTTGGCTCGGCGGGCGTCACCGATCTCGGACTGGACCACCATGATGGACACGGGGCTGTTGGCCACGTGGTTGCCATTTTTCTTGATGCTGACCAGGTGTTCACCCACTTCCCGGGGGATGAAGGAGATGCCTGGGCCAGAACACAGATTGAGGTTTGTAAGGGGATGGCGGAGAGGAAGCAGGAGAGACACACTCTCAGAAATAGAAATATGACCTTTTTCCTGACATCCAACAACCCAGAGTGTCGACATCACAATGCACAAATACACTTGGGCATTTATCGTGCGTGTGACCCAGCAGGTTTATCACATCACAATCCATTGTGCTACCGATTTCCCAAGAAAGAACTGCAAGAGTTCCCATCTCCCACCCAAGATGTCCTGGCTCCAGCCAGGAAGGGTAGCCTAGCTCACCAATGTGGTTGTTGGGCAGCCTCTTCAGGAGACAGGGCTCATCTCGGCCAGATGGGGCCTTAATGCTGGCCGTCAGGCTGCTGAGGTCAGTCTCACTGATGTCAAGCAGGAAGTCAGCGGCCGAGCCCAACTTCACCTGGGAGCACCGCCTGCTGTCATCTGGGAAACATTCCCCCAAAAAGGACTCCCGTTACTTGTGGTCATCCCGCTTCCCAGAGCTGCCATGCCATATGCCGTTCACAGATGAACAGGCAAGAATTAATTACACGAAGTGAAAAAAAATGAGCCTTGAACACTGAGTAGACCCAACCAATGAAGAATGATGGGATTCATGCCTGCTTGCAGCAAAGACAAGGAGCTGGCAGGACCCGGAGACTTGAGTCCTCATGGACCAGCCTAATCCCAACACTTTGAGAGACTGAGGCAGATGAATCACTTGAGGTCAGGAGTCCAAGACCAGCCTGTCCAACATGGTGAAACTTCATCTCTATTAAAAATACAAAAATAAGCTGGGTGTGGTGGTGGATGCTGTAATCCCAGCTATTCGGGAGGTTGAGGCAGGAGAATCGCTTGAACCCAGGAGGTGGAGGTTGCAGTGAGCCAAGTTTGCACCATGAACTCCATCCTGGGTAACAGAGCAAGACTCCGTCTCAAAAATAAAATAAAATATAGGAATCTTTGGTAGTTGAAGGGACCTCGTACCTGCCTGGCATGGCTGTGGGCATTTCTAGGTAAACAATGACCACATTCCACAGAGTACTATTGGCTGTTTCACAGACAGGTCTAAACACGGTGGGGACACGGGCTCTGCCTTGTGCATTTTCCTTATAACCCACTGAAAGCATAACCTGAACACAGCAAGGTGAGGAGCATGGGTTTTGGAATTTGATAACCTGGATCTGTTTACCCATATGTGAACTCGGCTACACCACTACCTTGCCAAGCCTCAGTTTTCCCATCTGTAAAAGGGATAGCAGAAAATTTATCTAGTAGTGACGCTGAAGGGCATCTCTGAGTTCACACACTATTGCGGTCAGTATGATTTGAATACTCCATCTGAGAGCTTTCTCTTTGCACACTAGAGTAACACTGGCACAGTAAAAGTGTGCTCCAAATACTAGCTCTTGCTTTTTCCTGGATTATCAGCAAGGGAAGAATTTAGCCAATCCAAAATTGGATTCCATCCCCTGCTCCTCCTCAATGAGTCTCCGTGAAACCTAAACTCAAAGAGATGTCTAGCCTGCCGCCTGTGGTCTGATAAGGAGGGTGGCAGTCAGGGGCAGCCACGCTTCCCATGAGGAAGCCTCCAGAAGTCAGACAACCCTACCTGTGATCTTGGCTGTGAAGGGGCTGCCAGGGATGTGCTTGTCATTGTACTTGACCAGAATGCTGTAGTCGCCTGGCAGAGTGGGCAGGTAGGTCACTGTGCATGTCCCATCTTTATTGTCAATGCAGCTGATTTCTGCTTTTGAGGGGCCCTCAATAGCCAAGTCCAGACCACCTACAAGTGGGAACAGGGATGCAGGGGTGTTAGGGAGAGAGTTTCCTTGTTTTAAGAGTTTCCTTGTAACAACTCATCCAGGGCAGCCCTGATGCTGGGGACAACGGACTGATGCACTCCACGTGAGCTGTGGGCAAAGGGACATCTGTCAGAACAAAGCACTCCATGTGGTAAAAATATCCACTGAGAAGAAACCCCAAATGTCTGAGTTCTTCACTGCAAGTAACCCTGGAGCTCTCTCTACTCTCAGGATGCATGGGATGAGAAAAGGAAGGAGCCGTGCATGTCAATTTCACATAAGAGATGGTGGGCGGTGGAGGGCAGAGGTGTATTGTCCCTTTCTATCAGGCACTGGCTGCCATCATGGAAATTCCATTAGAACCACAGATTTGGGAGTCTCCATGAATACCATGTGAATGGGCACACAGCTTTATCAAAAAGAGCCACTCAGTAAGTCATGTGGTCTTGTGGATACATGTGCAAAAAGAACAAAAACATTACCAACCAAAACATACTTAAATTCCAGACAAGTCACATAAAGTATTTCATAGCATGAATCTGATTTCAATTAGAACACAAAGGACTTCAAAAATGTCTTTCTGGGTAGAAGACAAAGCAGCTCTACAGATTTATATGAGAGAAAAGACAAGACAAATACTACCATTCAATTGTCTCACTTTTAAAAGCCACCCTAGAACCGTGTCCACTTAACCCTCCGAATGGATGGCTGGAGGCATATAAACATGTAAACTACACAGTACCTTCTCCTGCATCCTCTGTGACGATGGTGAAGGTGGCAGTTTTGTTGGCCACTCCATACACGAGGCCTGGACCATATGCAGAAACGCTTCCACTGTTGGGGTAGTTCACATAGAACTGGAGTGGGCTCTCTGGGTTTACAAAGGACACAAACAAAATTGGTGCTCATGAAGGGGTGAATGAAGACCTTGGACAACCGGCATCTTAACACTCACCTCTCTACAGGTCTGGCGCCTCCTAAGCAGAGGCAGAGACAGAAAGAGATGCAGAAACAGAAGGAGATGCAGAGACAGAAAGAGATGCAGATGCACCTCCTGTCCCCCGCCATCCCAGGACATCAGAGAGGGTCTACACAGTATTATTCCTTCAATCACAACATAAGAAAAACAATCCTGGAGGCTGCCACAGATGAGGAAGGGGGCTGAGGTAAGGCAATCCAGCCCAACTGATAAATAAGGAAGAAACTCTTGGGTGGTGAAAGGACCCATGGCTAGAGGGAAGGTGAGTGGAAAGGGCTTTTGGAAGGCCATTTGCCCACGCCATTCAAACTGTAAGGAATCAACCCCACAGTGGTCTTTTCCACCCACCCCGACTGCTAGCCCTACGTAAGCACTTTCATTTCTGCAGTGTTCAGGTGCACATCAGGAAAAGACCTAAGTGTTCACAACAGGGGACTGGTTAAATAAATGCTGATCTACTCATGGGCCATTAAAAAGAGTGAGGAAGACCCATGTTTACTAACTTGAGAAATTATCCATAATATGATGGATTAAAAAGAAAAAAAGCAAGTTGCTATAAACTATGAATACCATTACGCTATTCCTTTAAAAACAAAATAGAACAAAATTATATGTATGTTTGTAGATACAGAGAGAAACATCTAAAAAGATACACAACTTGCACCAGCAGTGGAAGTGGATGGCAGATGTGAGAAACATTTTTTCCTCTCTCTCCATCTGCACTTTAGAATATTTAAATAGAAGTAGATAATACATTTTTGCTTTAAGCCAATATTACATACAGGCAACTAAAGCAAATGCCAATCTCAGAGAAATATTTGCAACTCCTACCACAAAGGGCTAATCTCTCCAATGTTTAAATTGCTCTTAGAAACTATATGACAAAGGCCAATAACCAAACAGAAAAACAGGCCGTGGATCCAAACGTTCAGTTCACAGAAAAAGAAATACAAATAGACATATGGAAAGCTGTGCGGTCTCATTCACAAGAGAAATACAAATAAAGCAACACTGAGATTCTGTTTCTTTCCAACCATCAGGCTGGCAAAGATCCAAAAATGTGATAGCATATTCTACTGGCAAATTTTGTGGAAAAGAAGGTGCTCTCCTCCATGGCTGGAGGGTGTGTGAACTGCAACAGCCCCTCTGAAGGGCAATTTGGCAAGATCTGTCAAAATCGTAGATGCCTGCACTGGGGCCCCAGCAATGCCTCCTCTGGTAACTAAATCTCACAGATACATCTTCATGAGTGTGAAGTGACTAGGGGAAAAGTCGATTTGCTGCAGCAAGACTGGGGACAGCAACGGCAGGAAGAACCAAAATCCCTCCAACAGGGAAATGGTCAAATATGTAATGGTTCGTCCACATGAAGGAAGGCTGGAAAGACACTCTCTTATATATCTGTATTTCTATTTGCATGGAGAGTCTTAAAAATACTCTGAAAATGGCCAGGCGTGGTGGCTTATGCCTGTTATCCCAACACTTTAGGAGACCAAGGCGGGAGGAATGCTTGAGGACAGGAGTTCAAGACCAACCTGGACAACATAGTGAGATCCTATCTCCACACACACACACACACACAAAATAAAACCCTAAAACTCTGAAGTCGAACATAAAAAAATTTATGATAGTCTGGTTCAAGGAGAGGGCAGACGGAGGATATGGGTGGGAAGGAAACCTTTCTCCATATAATTTTTATTTTTGAACCATGAGAATGTGTTACCTATTCAAAATACTAAATTAAAAAACAAATATTTAAACAACTACAAAAAGAAAGAAAGAGTGAACCAGTGACACTGTGCTGGTTGGTGGCCCATGGAACTTGGGCCGGATTCCCTTGGAACTTGGGCTGCTGGTCCTCTTCTTCCGCCTCTGACCCCGCCCCAAGTCCCCAGGCCACATAGGGCTCTGCAGGCCAGGCTGGAAAGTCCCTCACTGTGCCTCACATTTTTCTCCCAGCTTGCCCTCTGGCCACACTCGGCGTAGTGACAAAGATAAACAACCACAGACCCAAAGGCCTGCACGGTAACCCAAGACACTGAGCTACATCATCCCTTCTAGAAATCAGCTGGACCTGCTAGGGTCCCAGGCTGTTTGGTTTTGCAGGGTTGCCAATGCTGCATTCCCCAGCCTGCTGCCAAAAGCCACTCCCTACACAGCAGCTGAGGAGCGTCTGTATGCTGCCCAGATGCCCCTAAACGGTGGAGCCCTGCTAGGCCTGCTCAGCTCAACTTACCAGGGATGTGGCTGCCCATGTATTTGATGTGCATCTCGTGGAGCCCAACTTCAGTGGGGGCGTATCGAACAGTCACCGTGCCGTCCTTGTTGTCCACAATCTCAGGTGTGGCCGTCTTCCCAGAAGGCATGTGTACCTCCCCTATGGAGCACAGGGAGATGGTGCAATGAGCCCACCAGCAACCTTCCCCAGAGAAGCAGAGCCCAAGGCACAGATGTATTCAAAATAAAGGTTTCCAGACCCAAGGACATTCATTGCTGCCTAAAACACTCAAGTCCCACAATGGGAAAGACCATTTGCTCTTTTCTTCTTTTTTTTCCAGTTCCATTTGACTTCCACAAAATACAGCAGACAACTCTTAAAGAGTTTTTTACAACTGGCAAAATCAAGCTCAGAAAGGACTTGAGAAGACCGTGAAACCAGCTGGATAGGTAGAGCATCAAACCAAAGAGAAGCAGGCATTGAAAAGAGGCTGAGGGGAGAAAGGAACTCCTGTATGACAGACTCAGTGTCAAAGTCGCATCTGGAAAAGTCAAACAAGAGGAGGCAGGGAAAAGGGGCAAACAGGAACCCGACAGTCATGAGGTATCTAAACACAGCAGTTCTTAACCTAGAGAGAATCATGGGCCCCCTCAAGAAAGTAATGCAAGTTGTCAGTGAGTCACTTCTTCAGAGAAACACACACGTGGCACATTCTCTAGTTTCAGGAGCCCACGGCCCAACGCCCGAGACCAAGAACTCATGACCCGGGGTTAAGGAGCCCAGGTCTGGGAGACAGTGGACACATCTCCCCAGCACCATTCTGGGAAGCTCATGAGAGCAAGTGACAATGAGACAGCCTTCATGGCAAGTGCTTACCAGTGATTTCTCCTTTCCTGACAGCAAACGGAATGACCAGGTCAAAAGGCTTAAATCCCAGGCCATTCATGTCACTCACTGGGACATAGGCCTCTTCGGTCACCTAAAAACAGAAGGCAGTGGTCACTGGGTAAAGCGGACAACAGCGGGAGCTGGTGAAGCTACAGGGGGTAGAGCTGCTGGGAATTCTGCAAGCCAGTGAGGCCGGGATTTGGGAATGTGGCTGCCCATTGTGGTATGGGCTTTGTCTAAGTGGCTCCAGACCCAGGGTAGAACCTGAGGGACTGGAGAAGTCACGCTGACCAACTGTTAGCAATCACTCAGGAGTCTGTTTGTAAAATTCCCAGCAGCGCCCACAGGAAAGTGGAAAAGTGAGAGACAGCAATGTCTATGAGTCCCAAGAGGCTCCATCTGGAAAGGTTTAGTTGCTTGTGGCCTGGAAAAGAAGGTGCATTTTAAGTGGCAGAGAGTAGCAGTGGGTGGCTTTCCCCCTGAACAGAAACTGAATGTGCAAGTGGCGGCTTTGAGAGGCAGCAGCAGGGCTGCAGACAGCTGTCTGTCTTTCTCTTTAAACACGGAGACAAACTGCACCGAGCGTGATCACAGACACGACGGCTGGCGATTTGTGGAGCACGGATGGTGACGCGAAGGTGATCTTATTACAGAAAAAGCAGGGATCATCGTGATGGGCTGATCAGTGAGGGGCACACCAATGACCAATGACCAGGACACCCACAGGGCTTAAGCAATCCCAGAAGCAGATGGCAGATTTTCTGAAATGAAGGCTGAGTAAACACAGAAACACAAAAAGGAAAAAACCAAAATTGTACCCAGGGCCTGAATCCAGGGGGACATGCATTTACCGGTGCCTCCTCCACGGCTGTGACTTCCCCATCTGTGGCCTGGTCAGTGGCAAATGGAGATTAGTTGGGAACCATACTGGAAGGATCCACTCAGTAGACTCTACCACCACAGAGCTGTTTCCCCCACTGCTCCATCTTGAACCGCAGTGAGCTGCTCGCTCTAGCGAAGGACACTTTCTTACTGCCCTTTTGGAAGGCAAGTTGGTGACCTCTCTTTGACTGTCAGATGTGCATGCCCTGTAAGCCCACAACCCCACTTCTGGCAAGCAGACCTACGCTGGCAAGAGGCTCCATAGGTAACTGATGTGTGTAAGGACCTTGACTGGCGCCATCTGTGGTCGTGCAAAACTAAAGCAACCTAACGTCCATCTGGAAGGGGTTGGGTCAAATAAATTCTGGTGAGTCTGTCCAGTGGAACACAGCAGTCAGGTCCAATGAATCAATATGTAAGGGTATCTATGGCACACTGAGGGAAGGAAGCAAGGTGTGAAAGCAATACGTACAGTGTGATCCCAGGCATGAAACTGAGGTGTGTGAAGTGTAAGCAGGTAAAAACTAACACGAGGCATCTCTGCAGCACAGAATTAGGAAAAAGGTCTTTTTTCACTTGATAAATGTCTACTGTGGTTAATTATTTAATTTTTTTTGAGGCAGAGTTTTGCTCTGTCATCCAAGCTGGAGTGCAGTGGTGCAGTCTTAGCTTATTACAGCCTCAACCTTCTGGGCTCAGGCGATCCTCCCACCTCAGCCTCCTGAGTAGCTGGGACTAGAGGTGTGCACCACACCAGGCTAATTTTTTTTTTTGGTAGAGATGGGGGTCTCACTGTGTTGCCCAGGCTGGTCTTAAACTCCTGGGCTCCAGCAATCCTCTCACCTTGGCCTCCCAAAGTGCTGAGATTTCAGACGTGAGCCACCATGCTCAGCAGTTAAATGTTTTTAAAGTTTTTTATAAATTCATTTTCAACAAATCTTAGATTTAATGCTCCTGGCTGGGCGTGATGGCTCACACCAGTGTGGGTCTCCTTGAGACATTTGCTATGACTGCAGTGTGGGTCAGTGTCCTTTTTGGCCTCAAACTTATAGTGAGACGCAGGGAATCTACCCAACCAAAGCCAATGAACAGTCAGTCAGTCCATCCAGTTAAGGTTCTCTCCCTGGAATGAGAGAATAAAGACCCAAACCAGGTACTGTAGGTACTGTGGGTGATCGTCCCTTTCTGCCTTCAGCAGTGGTCAGGGGGCAGTGGGTAAACACAAAATATTCTTGCTTTGTGTGTATTCAGGGGCTAGGAGACACTTATTCTTACTGAGTTTGGAAGCCTCCACTTCTGTAACAAGGGTCCTCAATTTTTTTACTCTGACTTTCTCACTTAGACCTTCCCAATATGGTCTTCTCTTACCCCCAACTCATCGCACCAGCAGGCCCATGACCACTGCTCGGTGGTTGGCTGCTTTTCCCTCCTACCTAATTCTAACCAACCAGATAAAACCCAGTATGGGCTAAAAACAGATTCTGAAGACTACAACTGGTACCCTTCTCTGTGAATAACGACATCAACTTCCCAGCTGTATTTCCTTCTTCCTACAGAAGAAAAACACTCTTAAATGAACAATGTCAAAAGTTGACAAGTGTTTACCTACTTGAGACATAAAAGAGCCTCCAGATCTCTGGCACGCTGTTTACGGATAAACAAACATCGATGGAAGGGAACAAAGCTACGACAGAGTATAGACTGTTTGGAAGAAAGTCCCTGAGCTTCTGTTTAGAAAGGAGTCGGCATGCACCTCTCCATTACTGCACAAAATGAAATAATTAGAAGGTGCTTTGTAGGCTGTGAAGAAGGCCAGGTCATTAAAAACATGAAGGGCCTATGAACCTTGTGGTCAAGTGCGGCTGCTGATGGCAGTATCAAAGGACACCAGTGAGGATGACAGCATGGTACTTGGTGTCTGTCTAGAACAAGCATGCTTCATTTGTAAAAAAAAAAAAAAAGGCCCAACGATGCTTGGTTTTGAAGGTTCAGTGAGGTAATGCCCCTGAGGTTTCTAATCCCTTTCCTGGTTGAAGAATATTCACAGGAAGATCTATTATGCAATAACAAAAATAAATAATCAGAGGAAGATCTATAAGTCACTCAGAACTGAAAATGAAAGACCTTGGTCGTTCACTAACCCAGATGTTTGCATAATGGTTTCCTCCTTCTATTCCAGATGTTCCTCGCTGCAAGAGACAAGGTATTTTCCCCTCATACATAAACTGTGAATCTTTCCAAAACACAAGTGGAGGTACTTTGAGTCCTGGGTTATCAGAGTCAAGTCTCCAAACAAAACAGCATCAGGAAGGTCTCTCCTCCAGCCATGGAGAATGGCCATGAAGATGGAAGAAGGAAGAGCTGGCAGGTTAAAAACCTGTCATGTTTTATGTAGAAACATTTTCGTAAAGGTGTGTTTTTCTGAGGAGTTATCTTTCAAAACGCCTCAGCTTAGGCCAGGATACTGCCCAAGTTCCTTATTATGATAGACACCTTGGTGGTCAGTAAGATTCCCTAAAAAGCCTTAGAGCCAAAGGGTTTCTGAGTTTCTAGAGATTACTCTGGGACTCTACAAGGTCACAACTGCTTAACAAAATTTCCAAAGGGGAAAAAAAAGTGGAAGAGGATATCCTGGTCAAGGTTCAACAAATGGCAGCTGTTACAGTTTCCACCAATAACAGCATGGCATGCTCTGGAGAAGGAATTTCTCTTACCATGACAGTGAAGGGGCTGTTAGGAATATCAACACCACCGAAGCGCACATAGATCACATATGTGCCTGGCTTGGCAGCTGTGTAGAAGATGTCATAGGTTCCATCTTCATTCTCGATGACATCGGCCTCGGCCTCAGTGCCATCTGGGGTCAGAACTGTGCAGGTCACTTTCCCCTTCCCGGCAGTCTTGGCATCAACCACAAAGCCTACTTCTTCGCCAGTTTTCACAGTGGAGGCGATTCCAGGACCTGGAGAAGAGTTCAGGGGAAGAGAATGGAAGTATGGACACACGTCCTGGAGGCCCAAGAACAAATCACACCCATCCATGCTGTCTGTGCCTGTAAATGTTAGGCCTTCAACTGCTGCCATTCAGAGGGATATCCCAAAGATCCCCAATCAGGTGTTGCTCAAAGGGTTACTTCATCAATTATTTACTAAACAAGGAGCATCTATAAGCTCTGAGTGTTGACTAAAGGTTAGCCTGGGTTTGCCAGCATTTAAAGGTATGGCAATGGAAGGTCACCTTTCAACAAACATATTGGGCATTTTCTTAAGTGCCAGGTACACATAAAGGTGGGTAAGACACAGTCCCTGCTCTCAAGATGCTAACAGGGCCAGGCACCAAGAATGACAGCTCCAACTGCAGTGGAAATGCTGAAGAGGAACTAAGTTACAGAAAAAATAACACACTGTTCCTCGGGGAAGTGTCTGGCAGCATATCTAGGCAAAGGTCCTAAGAATTTATATACCAGGGTTGCCACACTGACAAAGGGCTTCCTAAAGAAAGGAAACATGGCTGAACCCAGAAGGATGGGTTCTGTTAGCTAAGGGATACTTGCAACCTCTCCCCAGTGACCAGTCTCTCTCTGATTTCTGGCGCCCCTTTACACAGGATCCATACATCAGGAAATGCAGAACAGCATGAACTAAAAGCACATTGGCAAATATGAGCCAAGTGCGTAGGAGTAACAGGGAGGGTGGCCAGAGCAGTTTGTTCAGGGAGTAGTGGAAGAGAAGACTGGAGTCAATCTGTGGAAGGCACTGAATGACAGACCCTTGGTTTAGCCAAAGGCAAAGGTGTAGCCAAAAGGCAAGTATTCAGCTCAGGATTCTGCCCAAGCTGGGGGAGGAAATAGGGCCTGGAAGGCAATGGGGAAGTCCCCAACCAACGTTAACATGCCATCAATTAGTAAAGATGATCTGGTTGTCGCTGGCAGCTGCATAGACCTAGGAGGTGGTAGACTGGCCAGCATTCCAAAATTTCTCCATTTTTTGCCATGGGTGAGCCAAAAAGGGCCACACTGAACAACTCACAACCTTGCTGTGAAAGCCCAGATTTTCTCCATTCAAAAAAAGATGCGCTATGAGAGAAACAAAACACATGAAGGGTGGTCCTGTGCTTAGTCTACTTATTTAAAAAGAAGTAAATCTGTCTCATTTTAGAGATGGGGATTCATGTTTTGAAATCTGCTTGAGCAGCAGCACTGAGCTGCCCAAGGGCTGTTCTTAAAAACTGAAAGGCCGTTCGGGCACGGTGGCTCACACCTGTAATCCCAGTACTTTGGGAGGCCGAGGAGGGTGGATCACTTGAGGCTAGGAGTTCGAGACCAGCCTGGCCAATTATGGTGAAACCCTGTCTCCACTAAAAATACAAACCTTAGCCGGGCATGGTGGTGGGCACCTGTGGTCCCAGCTACTCAGGAGGCTGAGGCTGCAGTGAGCTGAGATTGCGTCACTGCACTCCAGCCTGGGCAACAGAGCAAGACTCCATCTCAAAAAAAAAGAAAAGAAAGGCCTGTGACAGTCAATAGTTGTGTCTTAGAAACTGAAGGAAGAAGGAGAGAGGAAAAAAAGAAAGAAACCAAAGAAACTGTGATGCTCAAATATTCATGGAGAATTCCTGAGAGGTTTACACATGCATGACGAAAAAAACCTAGATCCTTAAATGTGTTTCTCTAATGCTGACCTGAAATGCTCTTGAATGAATGCTGAGTAACTATCTATTCATAAAAGGCAGAAATTTGCTGCTTTTCATGGGAGCCGCCATCAGAGTTGGGTTCTCAACACTTCAAAAGCATATAATAATAGTTATAATGTATCTGGCACCGTGCTAAGCATTTTTCATGCCTGACCTCATCTAATCTTTGCAATAACCCTGTACAACAGTCTCTGTTCCTTAGAAGAGCTTCTTAGAAGAGCTTCTTGGATCTAAATGTTCTCCAAATAAAAATGAAGAGCTTCAATCTATGTCAAACTGAAGTTCAGTGAGGTCGAGCAACGTGCCCAGATCATGTAGCTTGTAAATCACAGAGAAGGGCTACAGCCCGGCTTTCTGATTGCAAAGCCCGTGCTCCTGACCTTGAGATGCTCTGTACTCACCCGTGGCCAGGCACTTGCTGGCATCACCCGTCTGTGTGGCTCGGATGCGATAAGGAGAAAGTGGGATGTCGTCACCCCCGTAGGTGACCCCAATCATATAGCGCCCAGTCTTGTCGGGGATGTAGGTGACAGCATATGTGCCATCTTTATTGTCATGGACAATGGCTCTTTTGGGTTTTCCTTCTTGGTCCTGTGGATCATAGAGAAACGCTATTTAGGATGTTGTCAAGATGTAGAAAACATTCATGGAAAACCTTGACATATTTTCCTATTAGTGCCTCTAGTGGAGAGACAGAATGGATGGCTTAATACAATCTAGTTTTGTTTTGTTTTTTTTGTAGGGAGAGTAGAGGGTCACAGATCCCTTTAACACCATGACAGACACAGCCAATTTTTAGTAACTTTGTTGTCAGGTGAACCAAGAGTGTTTTAGCTCGAAATCCTCTGAAATGTAGGGAGGGGAGGAGGCAGAGGCTTCTGCTCACACACCACCGCATCCAGTCTCCCTTTTCTCTTTATTAATAGGACTGTAACTCTTAGCTAGGTGCACTGCTCCCAGAAGATGGGACTCCACTTCCTAGCATCCTTGCCACTAGGTAATGTGACTTGTGGCCAACCCCCGACAAATCAGAAGGGAATGGAAGTCTAAGATAGATTTTTGGCAGGGCTGCTTAAGAGAGCCAACTGAGCTGGGAGGACCCCTTTTTCCCTTCTTTCTTCCTCCTTCTGGCCTGCCACGTGGATGTGATGGCCAGAGCACTGGCAGCCTTGTGGTCCAGGAGAAGACCTTAAGGATAAAAGTCACATGCTAGGTAGAGGAGCAGAGAGATGGAGCCGACCTCCTTGGTGAGGTACAGGGCACCCAGGTGGCTTAACCTGGGCTTCCTTAACAAGAGAGAATAATCTCATTTATTTCAGTCACTCTTATTTTAAGGTTTACTGCAGTATGCAGCATAACTTAGTCTTAACTGATCCAAAGAGTAATTTAAAACATTTAAAAATAAAAACATAGGGGACGGGCACAGTGTCTCATGACTGTAATCCCAGCACTTTGGGAGGCTGAGGCAGGCTGATTGCTTGAGCCCAGGAAAGTTCAAGACCAGACTGGGCAAGATGGTGAAACCCCATCTTTAAAAAAACAAAAATAAAAACATAGGAATAGATGTAGTAAAAAAAACATGAAAATTCACCAAAAAGTGGTTCTTGGAGCTACACCCTCAAATCTCTCAGGCGAGCTGCTTATGCTTCTGCACATTTACTGACTCTTTGGTGGGAAAATCTAACAAACAACTTGCACAGACATCGGTTATTGAAACCCTTGTTCTTAAATGTGGCCTGGAAATGAAGTCTTAGGATTAAGGTTTGGCTCGAAAAATAACTCCAAGTTACCGTTATCTGAACAGCAAGCAGGCCTTCCCCGGCATCTCGGGCATCGATTGCAAAGTCCACAGGTAGACTGGCAGGCACACCATAGGAACTAAGGCCGGGGCCACTGGCGGTCACTTTGCTGGCATCATATGTGGGAAGGACCTTGACCTTGAAGGGACTTGATAGACACACACACACACCCTAGTCAGTAAAGATACGTGTCAACCCAGCTGCATCTGACTTTTCTTACACATGAGTGGGATGGAAAAGGGGGTTTCTACAGTAGATAAGATAGTGAGTTAGTCAAGGTGCCTAAGTCCAGCAGAAATTTACAACTATGAGGTAGTAACCATTACATGACAGACTGGTTTTGCTCTGAGTGTGTTCCAAGGCAGCAGTCCCCAACCTTTTTGGCACTAGGGACTGGTTTCGTGGAAGACCAGGGGGCGTGGTGGGGGAATGCTTTTGGGATAAAACTGTTGCACCTCAGATCATCAGCCATTAGTTAGATTCTCATAAGAAGCGCACAATCTAGATCCCTCTCATGTGCAGTTCACAATAGGGTTCACACTCCTACGAGAATCTAATGCAGCCACTGATCTGACAGGAGATGGAGCTCAGGCGGTAATGACTGCTCACCCATCACTGTGCGGCCCAATTCCTAACATGCCATACACCCGTACCAGTTCACGCTCCAAGGGTTGGGGACCTCTGTTCCAAGGGATACAAATAGTTTCGGGAGGAAGAGCTCACAAATTAGTTTGGGAAATACAGCGTTAAAACACATTTAGCCCAGTTTTGTTATGCTAAGATGATGGTCACCAAATGGAAAGAATACTGGAACTTCATTTTAATATTTATATCTCATCTTATTCTATATTCTGTATCTATAATTATTCTATATTTAGTATACTTCATATGGTACATGGTATATTAGTAAAACAATATACAAATGTCATTTATAAATTACACATTTTGACATAGATAGAGCTAATATGCTTATCTCTATATAAAATATGTGTTAGGGGATATGGGTGAAAGTTTTTCATCTTAAGGGGCATGATTTTTTAAAAAAAGAAAAGAAAACACTTAGAGATTGTTCCAAGAGGTGAAGAACTTATGTAACATTTTTTAAAAATTAATATCAGCAAGGAAGAAGGTTTCTACATAAAACCTTCTGGAAATGCTTTTATCAAGCAAACCCTGAAGTAAAGACCTTTGTCCTGTCCCAAAACACCAAAAGGAAACCTCTAATAAACTAATAAATTCTTTATTTTTTCAATGATTCTCTTCTACTACTACTACTACTACTAGTGCTTTTTTTAAAAGAGATGTCAGGGGAGGGTCTATGTTGCCCAGGCTGGCCTCAAACTTTTGGGCTGAAGTGATCCTCCCAGTTCAGTCTCCCAAGTAGCTGGGATTACAGGCGAATCCCACCACAACTGGTTAGAATTTCTAACTTCTTAATTTCAGCTTACCTTTAAACTAAAGATGTCTGAAAGGAATTGGGGGAGCGAGAGAGTGGGAGCCACAAATACCAAAGCTAGTGTGTGGTGACAAGTTGCAGGTTCTATGTAACACTTGCTGCCTCGATGGATGGGTAGATGGACTGATGGAGGAATGGATGGGTGGATGGACTGGTGGAGGGATGGATGGACTGATGGAGGAATGAATGGGTGGATGAATGGACTGATGGAGGAATGGATGAGTGGATGCATGGACTGATGGAGGAATGGGTGGGTGGATTGATGGAATGATGAAAGAATGGATGGATGGATGGATGGATGGATGGATGGACTGATGGAAGAATGGATGGGTGGATGGAGGGAATGATGGAGGAATGGATGGGTGGATGGACTGATGGGAGGAATGGGAGGAATGGATGGGTGGATGGATGGACTGGTGGAGGAATGGATGGGTGTATGGAATGATGGAGGAATGCAAGGGTGGACAGATAGATTGATGGAGGAATGGATGGGTGGATGGATGGAGCTTACCTGCGAGGAATCTCTTCATCAGCATATTTAACTGAGACCATATAAGGTCCCTCCTGAGATGGAGTGTAGGTTACTGTGTGTGTGCCATCCCCATTGTCCACCACGTTCACTGGCTCCACCAGGCCTGAGGACAGAGATGAGAGGTTTAAGGAGGAGCCTGGCTTCACCTTTACTTCACCCTTGGCTAAGTTTGAAATAGGATCACATCCATCCCCAAGAGCTATTGGTTTCCACTGATGAATAACCTAAAGGCAAGCAACCATAATCACAGGCCTGAAAAAATCATAGGAACCCCAATTCACGGTTGCAGAAATGACCCCAAGAGACACCTTTAGCTTTCTGTTGGCTAAAATACACTCAGTCTGCCCTAGAGTATAATTAAGGAGACTGCCTGTGCTTGCTGCTGGAGGGTGTACGTGGATGATGCATGTTGAAGACACGCTATAACCTTTCAAGCTGGTTAGGCATGCTTAGGATGTGGCAATTTTACTCTACAGCTGAGACACTGCCAAAGAGTCCAAAACTGTGAAAAGCAAAAATTAACCAATGGGCTGGCTAGTCAAGACTTGTGGCCACCTTTGAGTAAAGAACACTGTGGTACCAGCATGCTGGGGCATAGATGCAGGGCAGGTGATGGTGCCAATCTCATGGGGCAAGGGGACCCTCAAGATGAAGTCTGTGGAGATGTTGGAGATTACACTAAAACATCATCAAGGCATGCACTGGGTTGCAGAGTCCAGATCCCAGTTTCCGACGTGAGAGTCAAGGATGGGCCAACTCCAGGGTAGGTTAATCAAAGCATGGCATGCTCATTAAGCAAAGCAGATGAGGCAGGTGTAAGCCAATTTTAAAGTGAGGCCAGCAAGAAGCATTTGGGTTACATAATTCAGCAGCCATGGGAAAATGCAAACCTGTCTCATTAAAGTCACCCTTCGGATCACCTTTAAAGAACTCTGAAAGGGCTTTCAAGGGGCTGCGCCATGACTGGGAATCCGTGCCATCAGCTAAAATCAAAAGGCTGTTACTTGAGAGTCCTTCATAATGGAGGCAGATATCCAAGTAAAGCTTCTCTTTCTTTCTTTTTTTCTCCCTCTTTCATTCACACATACACAGGGACACAAACATGCACACAAACGCATGCAGGTCCTGAAGCTCTGTAACTTCACAGAATCTGATCCCAGCCCCATGACCTCATTTGCCCCAAACCACTTCTGCCCTGAGCTTCAAAGGACATAACCTCCTGCTGAACTCCATGAAGGAGAAGGTTCCTCTTCAAAGAGGGAAATCCCTATTTGCCACTTCTGTGAATCCAAGAATATATCACTGGGGAGGAAAATCCAGATTATGTAAGAAATTAGGCACACTGTCCTCTATGCGGGAGAAAAGCAATTTTAAGTGCTGAAGGAGGAAACATGGTCACTTACCAAAAAAGGCAAGTTCCAATGCCCTTCAGGGCTTTGTCCCCATATGGCCCGCTAGCCTTACCAAACCCAAGTTCCAGGCTGCAAACAGGGCAGGCCAAATTGCCAACAAAGCCCATTCCCCAAGACACCCTCTGTCTCTGGGGAATTGAGACAATGACAAAGCCACATATCACGTGCATCATGTACCTGGCATTCCCACAGGTTCTGGTATGTACCACATGGACACCAAGGTATCTCAATGACTTATCACTTCCAAACCCCACCATCTGCCACATCCAGACCAACCCGCCCCCTCACAAATGCTGAAACACATAATGAAACAGTCGCCACCATATTACATACGAGAGCCCAAATACTGCTGCTTCATCTAAGAAACTGATAGCCGTATTATTAAATGGGGGGACAGATCACTGGAGAAATAACAAGCCTGCTTACTTGTAAGCAGGAATTTCTACTGTTTAAATAGAACATGAAACAATAAAGTAATTTTTTTTTAATTTAATTTTAAGCTCATGAGCAAACTCAAAAGCAAAGCATCTGCTCTGGGTCACGGCTGCCCCTGCCTGGGGCAGATGAATGTCTGTAGGAAGGCAGGGTGCATACTTACCTCGTGGGCCCAGGACCCTCACTTCCAGCGGAGCCAGGCCAGCCTTGCTGCTGTCCACTGTGAAGGACTGCAGGACACGGGCTCGGACGCCTGAGCCCAGCCCAGGGCCGGCAATCTTGACCTTGCTGGGGTCCACAACATCCTTCACAGGAACCCTGAAGGGGCTGCCTGGAAGAGAGGTCATGGGATTCTGAGCACAAGCTGGGAACTGGAGACTACCTTGTGCACACCCAGAATGGCACTGCTGCTCCCCTGGGACCTCGGCCATGCAGGCCTCGGTCAGCCCCTCCTGCCTCACTGTGTGCACTGCTTATGCACCCACTCATTGTTGTCAACCATTCTCACAGAGCACCTACTACATGCAGATGTTGTGCCAGGTGCTGGATCCTGAGTGGTTAACAACCGCCACCCCCCACCCCAGGAACGCACAATGCAGGAGAAGGATGAGGCAAGCAAATCACTCTAACATCCTACATAACGTATTGGGGGTGTGGAAGGTGGAGCACTCAGTAGGCAATCAACCTGGTCTGCGTAAGACCAGAGAAAGCTTTCCAGTAACATCTCAGTTGTGGCACAAGAGGGAGCAGATGGAGAGATGCTTCAGAGAGGCCTCAACACATGCAGGAGCCCAGAGGTGAGGGAGGAGACAGGCTGCTGGAGAAACTGAAGGAGGAAGCCTAGTGGTGGAAGAACAGAATGGAGAGAGATGGGCAGGCCCTGCAGCCCACATCCAGCCCTGTCTCCCACAAATGGCTCCCATGTGTCCCCCAGACTCCTCTCCCTCCAATGCAGCTGGCACCTTCTGACCACACTCGACCTTCTCAGTCACCCAGCCACCTGGTGAAGCCTCACTGTCTTCCTGAGTGTAAGCTGAGTTCCTGCTGCATGGCTGACTCCACGGGGGACCCTGAGGGCCTCTGACTCCTTGTGGGTGTCTGTTTTAAAGATGAAGCACAGAGGAGTCGAGGAAAGGAGATAGCGATTTGCTAGAGAAGTGCTCAACAGAGAAACAAGGGCTGGGCCATGGACACTCATGGACTTCTCTGTGGAGGGGGGACCTCCCCATCCAGGGTACCTGCAGCATGCCTCAGGCTACCACGCCCATCGTCAAGGGGCCACATGCACCTCTTGCCTTGCACGGGCGTCCTGGTGCTCCCCATGGTATCTGGCAAAGTTAATGACTGCCGTGAAAGCTGAGGGCTCTCTGCTTTGCATCTCAGAGAGTTTATACTTTGTAGAAGTAGAGATGGTAGATAGCCAAGACACACAAAGAACTGAGTCTCCGGCTTTCTAACAACAGATGGGTTTTAACAGCATCCAGGACTTTAGCTACATGAAATAAATGGCTGGCCCTGGCAAATAAGCACAGGCCTCCACACTGGGGTGAGAGGAACAAAAGGGGGCTTTACTTTAGAGAGTGACAGTTGAGGATTTCAACGTCAACAGCTGACGGCAAGGTACTACCTCTGAGACCAATCTTTAAGTCAGAGCCTCCACTAGAAGTTGTCTGAACTCAGCATGAGAGTAGCCAAGAATCAACAAACCCGGGTAAGATAAACTGTTCAAGATGGCAGACCCCAAGCATTATCCGCCACTCCCTTATTCCATGCCCAGACACATGTCACCATTCCCTTATGCCAGCCCTTCTTCCTCATGCACTCTGAACCCCAGTCAATCCAGTGGTCTAGGCAGCCACCACCAACCGACCACAGCTGGCCTACCACAGGAAATCAACACGCCATTATGGGTAAGACAGGACACGTTGTTAAAAATAACTCCACTCCGGGTTTTTAACCAGGCCAGGAAAAACTGGGCTAATATTTAAGCACCCAGAAATTAGAAGCTGGCAGGTCGCCGACGGTTTCACGGCAGTACCCCCATGGGTTGCCTTAGCTAAGAAGCCTGACGCTAAGAAAACCAACCAACACTTCACTAAATGTTTCCACCTGGGAAAGTTCTGGGGTTCTGGAAAAGCTGGCATTTGGCTGTCTCTGGGAGGCAACAGAGAGCCTGAAACATAAAAAGGCACCATCCACACCTGATGGGAAAACCACAAATGAATGTTTTTTCTGTTGTTATGCTCAAAGATGGCCATTTACTTTAAGCTCACAGGTGGGCCACAGGGGACAAACTCTGACCCCTTTCTGTAAGGGGGATTCGGAAGCTGGTGGCATTCACCAGCCTTTCCCCATAGTCAAAAAGTTTCGTTGCCACAAAAACCAGGAGATGTTCATCTCCGCTGTTGCCTGCCAGGTCGGAGCCACCACATCACCCCTCCTGGGAGCAGCCTTCTACTCGTTCTCTGTGCCCAACTCTCTCCTAATGCAAGTGTTACAAAACTCCAAAAGGAGCCCGTAGCTCTGAATTCTGTCACTGAGCCCCATTCTCGTTCTTCATAGCAGTCATCACAAGTTTTAGTTGTATAAGCCCTAGACAGTAAGCTCCCTGAGGGCAGGAACTTTGTCTTGCCCAAAGCTGAAATCTCCTAGACTAGTGATTATGGGAATTTTTAAAATCTATATTGAATGAGCCACAAGCACAAGTTTGAGGAGAAACATGTTTTAAATGACTTGAGGCTTAAATGAATATCTAAGTAGAATCAATCTGAGTTGAATGTCAACATTTTCTGATCAGTGTGAGAGAAAGACAGTGAGTGTGAGTGTGTGTGCACATTTCCATGTGGTAATGGGGAAGCAGGGATGGAATCAGGAAAATGTGTGGTCAGTGGACACTCCAGCTGCCTGAGAGTCAACCCAGAACCCAGCAGTGGGCCTCTCAGCCTGCCCTTCTCCTCTCAGCGTGACCCAGAGAGAGAAGAACAAGCCTCCGCTGAGGCTTTTCCTGCTCCTGGGGTCCTGGGGTGGGGCTCTGCCCTCTTCACACCACACCTGAGACGAGGCATAAGTGGCCCAGAACAGCCCCAGTCCTTGGTCTTGTGTCCACACCACATACTCACCTGCCCTTTTAGAAATGGGGGTGGGGGAGGTAGTCTCAGAATTCACCACTATAGAATTCATCCATGTAACCACAAACAACTTGTACCCCAAAAGCTATTGAAATAAATAAATAAAATGTGTGGGGGTGACAATCATTTGAGTAGAGAACTAGAACCTATGGAGAGTCCTCCCCCCAAAACAAATGGGGGAGGGTCCTTCACTACTTAAGTCATATATTTGTTTATTGTTTGAATCTTTACAGCGGTGGTTCAGCCTGAAGTGATTTTGTCCCTCAAGACATCTGACAAGATATAGAGACATTTTTGGTTGCTGCAAATAAGAATGGGGAAGGAGAAGTCTGCTATGGGCATCTAGCAGGTACAGGCCAGGGATGCTGACAAAAGTCTACATTGCACAGGACAGCCCCACACCACAAAGAATCATCTGGCCAAAAGTTGAGAAACCCTGTTTCACAGTGAGTGCCAAAGTTGAGAAACTAGTGCCAAAGTGCCAAAGTTGAGAAACATAGTGCCAAAGTTGAGAAACCCTGTTTCACAGTGAGTGTACACGACATCACTAAATACAAAAGAAATTATAAAGAAGAAATTGAATCTGCATATCTTGATCAGCTACTAGCATTGTCAGTGAAAAAAAGAAGCCAAGACACATGAATAAGGTATATAAGAGCCAAGCACAAAATAAGGTAGAGATTTTTTTTTTCCTTTTGCTGCTATTACAAATATCAGATTGTTTTTCCCACTCAGAGAGATAAGCAAAATCAAACCCATTTTCCTGCAAAATCAATTCTTCTTTGGGGTCCTGTCTGAGGAATAGCTTACCAGGGATGTGGGCTCCTCCATATGTGATATTAACATCATAATCCCCCGGAGCGAAAGGAATGTACTCAGCACTGCAGCTGCCATCCTTGTTGTCTCTGCAATTTATCTTCGACTCTGATGGTCCCTCAACAGTGATGCCAAGCCCACCAATTCCTGCCCCTCTGGAAAGGATGGAAAAGAAAGTGAAATATGCACCATTTATGCTGGTCTGCTTATTGCCAAAATTCATGCAAATTCCCTTTATAAACTATTCCATGTAGCCACCCCAATTCAATTACTACGATACACTCTCACAAAGGGAATTTCACATTAGTATAATATAAATAAAGACACTCTGACCCCTCCTTTTCAATGCTTATGTTTCATTGATTTTCCTTTTTCTTGAGGCAGAGTCTCACTCCATTGCCCAGGCCGGTGTGCAGTGGCGCGGTCTTGACTCACTGCAACCTATGTCTCTCTGGTTCAAGCAATTCGCATGCCTCAGCCTCCCAAGTAGTAGCTGGGAGTACAGGCATGTACTAGCAAGCCCAGGCTAGTCTCAAACTCCTGGCCTCAAGCAAATGTCCCATCTGGGCCTCCTGAAGTGCTGGGATTACAGGTGTGAGCCACCATGCCCAGCCTATTTTTCTTATCTAATTGCACTGGCTAGTGCAATTAGATAAGTACAAGTACAACACAGGCATATGCCTTGCAACCAACTTTAATAAAAATACTTACAAGGTTGGCTACAAATTTTTACATTATGAAGATACAGAGCTTGATTCAGTCCCAGTTTGCTAAATAGTTTCATGACCATTATCTAGTGCTTTGGTATGTTTTTTAGGTATGCTTGGTCTTTCTATGTAACATAAGTCTCTACAGAAGGAAATATACATTATAAAAATAAAAATGCATCTTATCAAAAGTTAGGAAACTATGACACATAGTAGAATCTAGCCATAAAAATGAGATTCAAGACACCAAATGTAGGGCCTTGCCTACCTGGTAACCACAGTGAAGACATTGGGCTTGTTGGTAAAGGCCTCTTTCAATCCAGGTCCTTGGGCTTGTACCCTAGATGGTTGGCAGCCTTCAGTGACAGCCACCTTGAAGGGACTGTTTGGGATAGGCACATCATCATATGTCACCTCCACTACATGGAGACCTGTTCAAAACAACAAACAGAAACACATATTTGCACATAAATCCCCGATTTGTGAAAAAATGATTCTCTACTTCAGAGTTTTATCTAGCATTCAAGTCTGCATGCTATACTATGTTATTTGGAAAAGGGGGTTAAAAACACAGTAATGTGGCTTGGGGCAGTGGCTCACACCTATAATCCCAGCACTTTGGGAGGCCGAAGTGGGTAGATCGCTTGAGTCCAGGAGTTCAAGGCCAGCCTGGGCAACATGGCGAGACCCCATCTCTACAAAAAATACAAAAATTAGCTGAGTGTGGTGGTGCACACCTGCAGTTCCTGCCACTCAGGGGACTGAGGCAGGAGGATCATTTGAGCCCAGGAGGTTGAGGCTGCAGTGAGCTGTGATTGCACCACTGCACTCCAGCCTGGGTGACAGAGTGAGATCCTGTTTCAAAAAAAAACAAAAGAAAACAAACCCACAGTAATGTAGGTATGATCTGACTTTTAAATAATACAAACCATCTGCAGTCACATAAGCCACTCCATCCCAACCAAGCAAATATTCAAGTCAGTTATCCTAAATAGACTACCCGCATTTGGGAAAACACCACCCAGCCTTTAACCAAAAGAAAAAGCGAAACCCACGAAACAGAAGAAACATACATCTACAAGAAGATTAAAAATATCTATGCCACAATATTGTAGGCTTCCGATCTCCAGGTAGTGGAGATATATATGGCACTTTTATTTTTTTCTTTATGCTTTTCCATTTATTGAAATTTTTTATAATTCCTAATATTCAAGAAGAAAGAAATTCATACGCAAAGAAAAATGGCACAAATGAGCAACATCATGGCATTACCCCACAACCTGCTGAGGTGAGACTGAGGCTAAACCCAGCCCACCTATTACACAAGGCCAGCAAGCCAGGCACTGAGTGGGTAGGTGACTGCTGCGGAGGGTGACTTCCACTCTGTCACTCTGCATGTGGCCCTGCTAAGACAGGCCTAGCACATGGGGCAGGTGTCAGTACCAGCCACCAGGAGGAAATGACCAAGGACAACTCTGAACAAGGGTCCAGTCCGAGGACAGGGCGGCTCACCTTTCTCAAAGGGTGTGTATTCCACCTGGTAGGTCCCATCAGCATTGTCTGTGACAAAGCACTCGGTGGAGGCCCCTGAGGGGTTGGCAATGTGGGCCTTGATGTGGTCACCCCCAACCTGGGTCAGCGGCCGAGAGTCAACCGTAAAGTCGGTGGTGGCTTCCCGGAACACATCTGCAGAGCAAGCACACAGCTAACACTGCCACCAGTACCCCAGACCCAAGAGTAAACCCCAGAACCAAGGCTCTTGGCACTTCAGGACACATGAAGTCTAATTTCAGTAACGGTGGAAAACTGGTTTTTCTACCTCTGAAATCAAGAATATTAACCCACTCCCTCCCAAAAGCAGTCCCTTCCAGAGTAGCCATGGCTAAGTGACAACATGACTGTTCACACTGAGGGCCCTAGGACAGGTTAAAGGTTGAAGACAAACCTGCCCTGTGGCATGCAGGTGTTAGCCAACACCACATTTTAAACTTTTTTCCAATTAAATGCCAACATGTTGCATGTTGAGTTTCCAGAGAAAAATCAAGATTTCGGGCTTTGCCAGAAAAACTAGAGGTTCTGCTGACAATGCTAGGTCCTGTTCCCCATGGAGAAACAGAAAACAGGGGTCAGCTAACACGGCCCCCAGAAATGCAATGTGCTCAACCTTCACCAGGGCCCCCCAACCACTCCCTGAGGCAGAGGGAACAGGTGAGCACCGCCTCATAGGTCACCTGGCTCCTGCAGGTGGCTGAGTTTGCAGCTCCAAGTTTCAGGTAACCCTTAAGTCCCAGCTTGCCTTTTTTTTTTTTTTTTTTAAATGAAACCCACCTTTCCCTTCTATCCCTGGTCCAAAGACTTTGATCCTGCTGGTGTCCACGGCAGGCTCCACCTTGACCCGGGCAGGGAAGTGTGGTACGAGTTCACCACCATACTTCATGGTCAGTGTGTACATGCCGGCCGTCAGGGGCACGTAGGTCACCGCGTAGGTGCCATCTTTGTTGTTCTGAATACTGACTTCGGCTTTTGCTCCCGAGTCTGAGACAGCTTCCAGGCCCAGGGCCCCTGGTCCCGCTTCTGAACAGTCGACGCTAAGGAGCCCAGCTTCACCCACCTTCCCATGCTCGAGACCTGGCCCTGATGCCACGACTTTAGAGGGGTCAAAGGGCATTTCAATGTCGGCTTTGAAGGGAGACCCAGGTATGTGGACTTCCTCAAAGAGGATGTTGACGAAGTACTCCCCGGGTTTTGTGGGAAGGTAAGAGACTGAGCAGGTCCCGTCACCATTGTCGGAGCACTCGATTTTGGCCTCGCATGGACCTTCCACCGTTAAGCCCAGACCTCCGGTACCAGCTCCTTTGGTATCGATGGTGAACTCAGCAGGCTTGCCCACAAGACCACCTTCGAGGCCAGGACCATGCGCCTTCACCTATTTGAGCAGAGAATAAAGTCAAACTGCACTGGGATCACTGCTCAGCCAGCACTGCTTTCAACACCCACGCATGTAATCAGCGTGGAAGTGCATCTTAGCCAGGCAGCCCTTCTCTTGGGGCTTCATGCGTCACACATGCACACATGAGTTAGATCCACAACAGCCAATGCAGTAAATGCCTCAGAACTTGATCACCAGCGAAAAGGCGCGAGAAGTGTGACCCCCTGGAGCAGCCCCTCTAAGACTCTCCTCTCTCCTACCACACCTGACCTTTCTAAATCAGAGGCCTGGACTTGGAGACCTAATGTCCATTCCAACAAACATACGCGAGATCCCAGCTTGAGGGCTCGTGGAAGGGCTCTTGTGGAGCTGGCTGTGGCTTAGGCTGTTGCACTTTGCTCAACAAATTCTGTGTAATAAAAAAACTAAATTGTTTCTAAAAAAGAGTGAGGAATGAGGCTTTCACCTCTAATTCAACAAATAAGACACCTTCATAGGATTCATACCATTGAGACCACTGGAAATCTTCCAAAACCCCCTGAGTCAGGGTTACTATGAACAAATGACAATGAACTTTTTTTTTTTTTTTTTTTGGAGGGGACGGAATCTCACTCTGTCGCTCAGGCTGGAGTGCAGTGGCACGATCTCAGCTCACTGCAACCTCCGCCTCCCAGGTTCAAGCGATTATCCCACCTCAGCCTCCTGAGTAGCTGGGATTACAGGTGTGCGCCACCATGCCCAGCTAATCTTTGTATTTTTAGTAGAGATGGGGTTTCACCATGTTGGCCAGGTTGGTCTCAAACTCTTGACCTCAAGTGATCCATCCACCTTGGCCTCCCAAAGTGCAGTGATTAAAGGCATGAGCCCCACCGTGCCCAGCCATGAATAATGTATTTTTTGTTGTTGTTGTTTTTTGAGACGGAGTCTTGCTCTGTCGCCCAGGCTGGAGTGCAGTGGGGCGATCTCGGCTCACTGCAAGCTCCGCCTCCCAGGTTCATGCCATTCTCCTGCCTCAGCCTCCCGAGTAGCTGGGACTACAGGTGCCCACCACCATGCCTGGCTAATTTTTTGTATTTTTAGTGGAGACAGGATTTCACTGCGTTAGCCAGGATGGTCTCGATCTCCTGACCTCGTGATCCGCCCGCCTCGGCCTCCCAAAGTGCTGGGATTACAGAGGCATGAGCCACCGCACCTGGCCAGAATAATGTATGTTTATATTACATGATTCAAGCTTCTATAGGGTGAGCTCCGTCTGTGAGCTGGGTGCTAGGCAGAGGCCTCACGTTTGCTAACTCACCTGCCCCTTACAGGCTGGCTTTGTAGTGAGGACTGTGATTATGCTAACAAGCGAAGAAAGAAGAGTCTGGGACAGGGAGCCCCTCACCAAAGTCTTATAGTCAGAGAGCAAGAGGAGGAGCAGGGTTGTTACCCACCTACCCAAGGGACCTTTCACAGTGAATTGTGCTGACTTTCATCACAAAACGATTTTCAGAAGGTCTTTGCCAGGAAGAACCAGAGAAGGACTATGGTGTCATGTTTGACAACAATGAGGCAAGTTCTGGGACAAAAGCAAAGGCTGACCTTGGTGGGATCTGGTGGCAGTGAGGCCTCCACTGTGTAGGGGCTCCCGGGCACAGGGTGTCCATCGTAGGTCACGTCTACAGCATACAGCCCCTCCTCCCGAGGGATGAACTTGGCTGTGCTGCTCTCCCGGCCTGTCACAGGTGTCACTAGGCATGGCACAACCTTCCGAGAGGGGCTGAGGATTGTCACGTCCAGCTTCCCCTGGCCTCCTGCCCCCCTGGTATCAACGGTGAACTCCTGATCCTTCCCAACTTCCACCCCTGGAAAAGAAACACAAGCCAAGGTGAAGAGCTGACCGTTTTCAGCAGCAGGAACAATCCAGAGCACAGAAGCAATGGTTCTTTGGACACAGGGACTTATCTCAGCCTCTACCATAAGCAACAGCTGCTGCAGAGGACAAGCAGCAAAGCTGAGTAAGTATCATCTGCATCTCAGCCTCAGTAACAACCAGTGAAGGCATAATCATCCATTAGTGATGACAGCAATAATGGCTATCATTTACTAAATGCATTTTATATGTCAAGCACAAATAGGGTATTGTCTTAATTTTCATCACAATCCTATGGGGTATTTATTATTAACCAATGGCTTTCACAGATAGGGAAACTGATGCTCAGAGAGGTTAAGTAACGTGTCCAGGGTGACATATGCAGCAGCCTCCCAACTGGGACTTAAAGTGAAATTTACCTGACCCCACAATCTTTGCTGACCAGAAAGTTGTAATCTGACACTGTCTTCTCTTATTTACTTACTTTTGGTGTTAACTTTATATCCAAACACCCTCATAAGTCAATGTTTTATTTACTAATTCTTGGCAGCCAACTCCATCTTACAGGCACCCTTCCCCCTCAAGAGAGCAGAAGTCACAGAGCTGCCAAACGCGAGGCGATTGAAGCAAGTCCTGAGAACTAACTGTACCGTGATGGTTTCCAAAAGGTCTCTGCAAAGCAGGGCTGCAGGAAGCCCAAGCGTTAGATTAGACAAAAGCAGGGAAAGGACTTTACCCAAAACAAAAGCACTGGGAACACAGGGCCCCCGCCACAACTCAGAGAACCTTGACTCTGAAGCAACACAGGGCCTGGCAAGATGGACACTGTCGAACCATAAGCAAGGAGGTCCCGGGTCGCCACTTCCCACCGGAAAAGTGGCTTTCCTAATTGGCACCATGCTTTTCCTGTTCTGGAGTCAAAGCTCTCATGTCTTGGGGAAAGGAGTGACAAGGGGAGACATGACAGGGTTGGGCAGCAAACGTTCACACACTCAGGGCTGGCTGCCCCAGCTACAAAAGCCAACAGCGAGCTCTCACTTTGGATCTCCACAACTGGGAGCTGGCCTTGGTTGCAATTTGTGCGCTTGGGTCACAAGTGAAGGAAGATGCTCACTGATGGCACTGCCAGTGGTACCCTGGAGAAACCCTCACTGCCGGTGGTACCTGGAGTGCACCCGTCCTGGGGGTATGCACTCAGCCCTGCCTCAGTAAGCCTGAAACGAGGTGAATGTGAGCCCAGAGGGGCATCCAGTCTGGGGCCACTCAGTGGTAAATACCAACAGAAAAGATGTAGGAGTGAATGATTCCTGAGGTGCACTGTTGGAGGCAGGCTGAAGACATAGGTTTATACAGCAGGGCAACTTTAATGCAAAATAAATATAGCCAAATGTTTTCCACAGGCACATCTATATGTATAGATGCAGAGAGAAGATCTGGAAGAACAGAAACTGAATTGACAACTGTGGTTAATCCTAGGGAGCAGGAGAGGTGAGGGTTAAAGTAGAATTACCCCTTAACTGTAATGTTTTTTAGATGAAAAATGGATTTTTACTTGTACAAAAAAAATCATTTTATGAGCATGTGTTGAACATCTGAAGCTGAGTGATAAGTACATCAGTGTTCATGTTATATTATTCTCTTTTCTTTTCTACTTTTGAAATTTTCCTACTAAAAAATAATTACAAAATTGAAAATAAGCGAAATGGGCTTATACTAGTAAAATCCCTAACAAGCTAAAGGAATATTGGGATGGGGCAGAGGCGTGGTGGTAGTGACTTCTGAGTGCCAGGGATCTGGCATTTATGCTTGACTCGCAACCTTAATGTGGATTCAGTTGCCAAGGACAGCTGGCACAGTTAGAAATTCATCAGAAAGCGATGTGGCCCAAATTCTCTTTTTAATGAACACTTCCTACTGCAATGCCAGCAATATACTGAGGGCTGACTACGTGCCAGCCTCTGAACCATTAGCTCATATAATTTTCACGATATTCCCACGGGTGTTCTCAACCTCTCCCCGCCGACACCCCCACTGTACAAATGAGAAAGCTGAGTCTCGGTGAGGCTAAGGGGCAGACACAGTCACAGTTATTTCACAGCACGGCCCTAATTCAAACCAAAGTCTGTGCAACTGCAAAGTCTCTTAAAGTAGAATTTGCTTCTCTGTGAATTCCATCTTTTGAAGAAAATCTAACCAGCAGCCACGCTGGGTGGTCATCAACAACCCATATGCCCTCCATTCAGGCACTTACTGTTTTCCAGCCCATTGAGTTTTATCTTGCTCAGATCCAGCGGTGCAGCAACACCCACAGTGAAAGGGCTTTTAGGGATGGGATCGCCCCCGTAAGTCACCAGAACCTGCATGTTGCCCTGGAACAAAAGAGAAAACCCAGTTTACCTTTCGGTACCAACATGCTAACTTGATATTTAAACTCCCCGCAAGATCCCTCACTCTTCCCACAGACAGGGGAGACTTGATTCCAATCAGTGTAGAAAGTGTCTTAGATCTGAAAAATCAGATCAAATAAGAGCAGCTAATAATAACAGGAGCAATTTTTATAATTTGATAATGAACATTTTCTACACACCAAGCACCGTGCTATGTGCTTTTATGCATTTCCTCAATTCAAGATCAAAACAGTCCTAAGGGGTAGTTCCTACTGTCATCTCATTTTTTCAGGAGAGGAAACTACGGCTCAGACTGGTAAATAACGTACCCCAAGTCACACACCTTGGTAAGGGTGCAAGCTGGGCCTCATACCCATGGCCCCCAAACCTGTGTCCTAGCTGCTTTGCCAAACCACCTCCCCACCATCATACCCAGTGCCAGCCACAGGTACAGCAGCTGGGCCTAGAGCCACTAATCACACAGAACCATTTCTGTCCTAGGAATCCATTTGAGGCCCCCAGGCTGCAACAGGGATTTGCAAGAGTTCACCTAGACCCGTGCTAAGACCACCACACAGTATCTGAACTTCCATTATGTGAAACAAAATAAAATTGCAAGTGTGAAGGCAGACGGTGCTTGCAGGATTGGCAGGCTCCCTCACGGGTGGCCGGGTGGCACGGGATGGCCATGTGTGTGCCATTTCTCTCCTCTGGCCGGTTCCAGGATGGCACACAGCCGGCTTCTTCTCTCCATGGTTGGCCAAGTTCCCTCCCTCCAAATCGAGGCTCCAAGAAATCTCATGGCTGTCTCAGTAGATCAAGATCCCCTTCACCTCAATTGACCAGGCATAATGTAACAGGAAAGTGGGAGGGAGACATGAGTTCCCCCCAAGAATCCAGCAGCCTTGCTGGAATGCAGGCCCTGCTGAAAGCTGTTGCTGATCGAGTGTTAAAAGGGTGTATAGCATTTGGCCTATGTATATTTTGTCACATTCCTTTTGTAATAAGGAAGGGGGTAAAGGCCAAGAAAAAAAACAACAGCAGCAACAAAACAAAAACTGGTTGCATCAATGAAGGGAGGATTAATTTTCTAGGATTTTTAAGTATTGCACACGAAACCAACTGGCCCCCTGCCTCATGCGTACAACATTTCCTGGTAAAATGTGCACAGGTCAAATTCAACAGAGCTGGGAGCCAGCCAAGAGGCAGGAAATGTCTCCTTCTTGTACTGTTTAAGGCAGGACTGACTCGCTACTTCAGCCAACGCGGCATTCCCAATGTGCCAACTCTTCCCGAGCTTCCGTTTCCCCACAGCCCCTAACAATTCAGGGGCTCACTAGGCAGACCTCAGGCTAACCAGAGGTCTTGGGGATACCTTCTCCCTCACCTGCATAAAGTTTTCTGGCCACTTCTCTGAAGCGCTAAAAAAGAGAGTGAAAAGTCCTCTTCCAGTTAAACCCACCCATCCCATAAAAGAAAGTATGCTCTCGTTACCAGTCAAAAACAAAACAAAAACTCAGATAGAAAATGAACTCTACCTTAAATAACCTAAGAAGGGGGAGGGAAAAAATCTTGGAGATTTACACCTACAATGCCTACAGCATTTTAAGGCATCCCCTGAGGCCCCAACTAAGGAATGCACTGTGTTTATTCCCCAACAGGGCCATGAAGTGAGGGATGTATGGGTAGTGATGGCCAGTGCATTTTGCCACAACTTGCAGGCTGCAAGACAGTTTCACTCTCCTCTACATGCTTCTGAAACCTGAATCTTATCCTTCAAAATATACATACACAAGACACCGATCACCGATCAGACAGCTCAGAAGAGGATGGGACTGAGAGAGCCACCCTCGGCGCCATCACTTTTAGGGCCCTCTGGGAGCAGCCAGGACCACCATGGTAAGAACACTTCAAGGTAGACACTGCTACCCTGTGAGGGTCTGTGAGCTCACAGGGATTCCTAAAGGTGCCAGAGTAGCACATGGAGTTGTCCCCAAACCTAGTGGCTCCCAGCACAGCATGTAATGGAGACATTGCCACTAGCTTCTCAAACAGCTCTGCTTGGGGGAAACTGGGGTGAGAAATTTAAGCTGCTTGAGGCCACCCACAACCAAGAGAAGACCAAAGTCCTCAGGGAAATAACTTCCCTCCTATAAAATTGAGTCTTTGACCTCTGGGAGGGTCCTCAAGCCCCAACCCAACAAGTCCATTCCTCTAAGGCAAAACGAGCTCTACTCTTGCATCCTCAAGGGACTCACAGGATCCTTCAGTCATCCACGTCGCTCATCCACCCCAGGCAGGCAAGCACCTGCAATCTGTCACTCAGGGACTTTGCTAGGTGGAGTGGCAGGGCTGCAGGTGTCAGGGAGCAAAACCAGCAACCAGAGACCTGGGTTACTCAGGCAGGATCTCTCAGCTCCCACGTGGCACAGCCTGCGTTCTGAGGGGGAAGCGCCCACCCCAGGCCAGGACACGCCCATGCCCAAGCAGCCACCTTTCTGGGGATTTCCAGCCTGTTACACCCTAAAACCACCATGAGAAGAGGTGCCTGTGGGTGTTAGCCCTCAAAGTAGGCTCCCTCCCCCGTGTCAGGGGGTGGCTTTCTGGGCTGCCCCAGGTTTCTTAACCACATCCAAGGGCATACTTCCTTAGCCCAGTCTTGAGCTTTTAGCCGCTCTTGAGAAAACAGAGTTCAAAGGAGAATGAGGAGGTGTGGGCATCACTCTTCTACCAGATTACAACGTTCTTAGGCCATCTCTGCTTGTGAATCCAGGCGCCACATCATTTATTCACTCACTCACAGCCATTAATCTATACAGAGCACTTATAGGGCCAGGCTCTGTGCTGGGGATGGGGGTGGGAGTGGGAAGGAAACTCAATCCAAGGAGAGATTTAATGTTTTCTTTGCCATAGAAAAATAGGCAGAATTGCAAGTTGCCCAAATAATGAAACAATAAAACTAGCTCTAAACAACAAACAACAAGAAGGACCCCAGTGCCACCCTGTAAGTCATTCACACTGAAGGCAACAACCGCTACCAAGGCCCACCAGGCTCCCTGAATGTATCCTGGGACCATCCGGATGCACAGCCCTAAGTGAGTACTCACCATGGCAGCAGTTCTCAAACCTGCTATCAGAGAACTGGATGAATGTGACCTTGGGGTGACTCTGAAGTAAGGAGCCTCCCCTCCAGCATCACTTCAAAGGGGACAAAACCGGACCTGGGGTGACTCTGAAGTAAGGAGCCTTCCCTCCAGTATCACTTCAAAGGGGACAAAACCGGACCTAGGCTCCTAACCACTTCTGCCTCAACCAGCAGCAGAGGACGTCTGGGGTACTGGGTTTTGCAGTCCTTTCCAAGGATGCAGGTCAAACCCTGACCCTGTCCTGACATCTGCAACTTACTTTCTAACGGCTCAGCCAAAACACTAAAAGGCATATAGACGTAGAATAAAGCAAAAGTCACAAAATGTTTTTAGAAGACACTATGACCTTGTGATCCTAGTCATTGTACACAGACAGCTATGGCTTTCTGGTGCATTCTCCTAAAGAATGTGGAGAATTTGGCAACAAATAAGATTCAGGCTGGTGCACCCAATAGTAAGGCTCCCACCAACCCTCAGAACCATCAGCAGGAAAATAATTACCTACTTACTATTGAGTGGCCTGATGAGAAAAGGATGCTCTATCTATAAAAGTACTAGTTTTATCATTACTAATAATGAATGTTTTGTTTTGGATTTTTTATTTTAAAGCACAGGAAGAAGCAACTCTGGAGATAAGAAGCCACATTTATAACCTGCACACGAGAACTATTAACAGAGTAAAAGGGCAACCCAAGGAGTGAGAGAATATATTTGCAAATCATTTGTCTGATAAGGAACTAATATCCAGAATACATAGAGAATTCCTAAAACTCAACATAAAATTAAGAAGGTTGATATAAAAATGGGCAAGTAGATAATTCTCCAAAGAAAATATGCAAATGACCAACAAGCACGTGAAAAGATTATCAACATCGCTAATCATTAGGAAAATGCAAATCAAAACCACAATAAGACACCATCTTACTCTCAATAGGATAGTCACTATCAACAACAACAACAACAACAAAAACAGAAAAAAACAACTGTTAACAAGGATGTGGAGAAACCGGAACCCTTGCATGCTGTTGGCAGGACTGTAGCAGTGCAGCCACTGTGGAATACAGTATAGTGGTTTCTCAAAAAAGCAAAAAGAGATTTCCATATGATCCAGCATTGCATGTCTGGGTATATACTCAAAAGAATTAAATGTAGAGACTCAAAGAGATATATGTACACCCAGCATTATTCACAACAGACAAAAAAGACGGAAGCAACCCAAATGTTCTTCAACAAATGAAGAAGGCCGGGCATGGTGGCCCATGCCTATAATCCCAGCACTTTCAGAGGCTGAGGCGGGCGGATCACCTGAGATCAGGAATTCGAGACCAGCCTGGCCAACAGGGTGAAACCCCATGGTGAAACCTTGGCCAACATGGTGAAACATCCATACTAAAAATACAAAAATTAGCTGGGCATGGTGGCACGTGCCTGTAGTCCCAGCTACTTGGTAGACTGAGGCAGGACAATCACCTGAACCGAGGAGACAGAGGTTGCAGTGAGCCAAGATAGTGCCACTCCAGCTTGGGGAACAGAGCAAGGCTCCATCTCAAGAAAAAACAAACAAACAAACAAACAAAAAACCAATGAAGAAAGAAGCAAAATGTATACACATACAATGGAATGCAGCCTCAAAAAGCAATGAAGTTCTGACACATGCTACAACGTGGATGACAATAGAGGACACTATGCAAAGAAAAACAAATCAGTCACAAAAAGACAAATACTGAGGTCAGGCGCAGTGGCTTATGCCTGTAATGCCCGCAGGTTTGGAGGCTGAGGTGAAAGGATTGCCTCAGGCCAGGAGTTCGAGACCGGCCTGGCCAACATGGCGAAACCTGTCTCCACCAAAAATACAAAAATTAGCCAGGTGTGGTGGCATGTGCCTGTAATCCCAGCTACTCAGGAGGCTGAGGCAGGAGAATGACTTGAACCCAGGAGGCAGAGGTTGCAGTGAGCTAAGATCATGCCACTGCAGTCCAGTCTGGGCGACAGAGCGAGACTTTGTCTCAAATAAATAAATAAATAAAAATAAAAATTTGGAGAAGAAAGCACAAACAGCAGCAAGCCTGGATGAAAGGGGCCACATTTGTAACATGACACACACAATCCCTTTGATTCCATCTCCAAGGGTGTGCAGCCCCCAAACTCAGGGGACAGCTACACCATGTCCCCTCCTCACTATAATCCTCCTTCTTCCCCACTTGACTCTTGCCCACTCCTCACTGAGAGGACCCAGGTGGAAGCAAGGCTTCTGAGCAGTGTTTCTGCTGAAACCGTTGCCCTTCTTCTCCTACAAATGGCATTTCAAACACAGCAGGATCGTTTCCCTTAAGAATAAAGGAATCTCAGAGGTTTGGAACAACCACTTAGAACACGAGGCTTAAGTATTAAAATCCAGACTTTTCTGCCAGGATGTCTGGTCTCCAGACCCCAGAGGTGTGAACATGAAGCAAAACAAAATTTTAAACAAATATAATGGATACAGGGCTTCAGTTTTACAAGATGTAAAGAGTTATGGAGATGGATGGTGGTGATGGGTGCACGACATAATGAATGCACTTAACACGAATGAACTATACACTTAAAAATGGTTAAGATGGTAAATTTTATGTTATATATATTTTACCACAATAAAAAAAATTTTTTAATGTTTTTAAACAAATAAACATTAACTTGTACCGAGAGGTAGTTTTAAGGCCCTTATGGCCTGAAATAATCAGAGGAAGCCAGCCTAGACGGTAAGATCACATGTGAAATCCTGCATTTTGTAAAGGGGAATAATTTGTTGCCCTAAATAGTGTGTTGGGCCTTAGGGACAAAAGGCTGAACTGGCTCTTTGAGAAAAGACCTCATTCCAACACCTCATAAAAGGGGTAAACTAAGCTAAAAGGGCCAGGAAGGAAACATAAAGGTGTAGCAGCTCTTTCTCTGTGGGTAATTAATGAAAAGACTAAAAGGCAGCTGGTGAGGCTGCGAGGGAGTGCACGTGTGTGTGTGTGCACATGTGCGCACCTGTATGTGTAACAGAAAGATAGATATTAGGGCCTGAATATCAATATCTGAGCATTTCTCTGATAAAACCCAAACCGAAGGTGGAGATATGGGACCAGCTTCCTGCTTGCTCTTGGGGAATTCTGCAGTCCACCTGACAGAACCCATCGGGCTTCCTACAGGTGCTCCCAGAGGGGTTCAAAATGCCAGGAGCCGCTTCCCATCAGGAAGCACTTTGGCAGAGCACCTCTCACACCCCTTGGTGTCCACAGTGACCCAGCACAGACTGCATAGAAAAGGGCCTGGCTGGGGGCCAGGGGAGCAGAGGGGAGAAGGACCCTACCTGTTGGGTGGGTGTATATTTAACGGTGTGGGAGTAGTCGTAGTTATCGATGACATCCAAATCCTTCACTGCATCGCCAGGAAGAGGGCTGTTGAACTGCACGTTGAGCGGGGCTTTCCCGGCCCCCTTGGTGTAGACAGTGAAGTGGGTCGGTTTCCCATTTTCCACACCTGGAAAAGATATACTGTGTGAGGAGACAGACTAGCTGGAGTAGTTTCACTTTGAGAACCCGTCAGACAGGTTCAACAGCACCAGGTCTATTATGACAGCCGGCTACAGGCCCTGGCCGGACACTGCTGCATCAGAGCTGCACAGAACACCTGCCAGCTTGGTGTTGGTGTTGATGGAGATTAGGTTCCTCAAGGCCATGGACGAAACACGCCCAGTGCCACCGGCCGGCAGAGGGGCCCAGGACAACCTTGATGTGCCATCTTACCTGCTTTGCTGAGCCCTGGGCCTTCTGCCTTCACTTTGCTGGCATCGTGGGAAGGGTCAACTTTGACTCTGAAAGGGCTGGCGGGGATTTCCTGTAGCAGAGACACGGTCTTAGTAGGAAAGCCCCTGAAGCAACAGCCAGAGCTCAGGGTGCCTTGAACAAACGGTGAACCTTAGCATCACTCTGACTTAGTGAGGGGTGAGCAGACTTCTGTTACCACAGGTAAACAGAAGGGTAAGATAAGCCAAAAGGGCCCAGCATTGGGTAAGGGTCTTCTATAATAGGTCACTCTCTAATGCCTGGATCCCTGATGTCACAAATAAACCTGAGGACTTTGAGCCTGTAATACCAAATGTTAAGTACTTAGGATGAAAAATGCCAACAAGAATAAAACCAAAAAGGATAATAATATATAGGGCTGAAGGAAGGAAATGTCCTCCAGGAACAGCTGAGAGCTAAGGTCTGGGGAAATGCAAGAAGTGATCAGAGACAGAACAATTATAATTCTTCAAAAAGAATGTTGCAGACTATTGGAATAAAGGCAGAAGAGGTTAAATGGATGATGTCAAGACCACTAGACCACTACCTTTAGGCACAGAACATTCTACTAAGGTTCCCATTTACATGTAAGGTTAATTTTAATCCCTAGGATTTCAAAATTCTCTCTTTCAGGATCCTGCTCACCCTATCTTCATCATTGCATACCTGAAACTTCAAATCACCTCTCTCTATAAAAGTTTAAGGGCAGAGACCACTGTCATTTGCTTCAAAGGCATCAAAGTAGAACATATCTAGAAGCTAATTGCATTTCAACCAAAATATTGATGAAAGTTTATAACAAACTAGTCTCTCTCCAGACCCCTGCTTTTAACCACTGAACACACTGCCTCACTTTTGTTAGAAGGTGGTAATAATAAAAGTTTTTTTCCTTCTTGGTTGTAAGGAGCCAGAGAGAAATTGAGCAGCGTTCTCAAGACAACTTCCCTGTCACTAGAACACAAAAAGGAGGCCAAATGCAGTGGCTCATGCCTGTAATCCCAACACTTTGGGAGGCCAAGGCAGGCCTGAGGTCAGGAGTTCGAGACCAGCCTGGCTAACATGGTGAAACCCCATTTCTACCAAAAATACAAAAAATTAGCCAGGCATGGTGGCCTGTAATCCCAGCTACTCGGGAGGCTGAGGCAGGAGAATCACTTGAACCCGGGAGGCGGAGGTTGCAGTGAGCCAAGACCATGCCATTGCACTCCAGCTTGGGCAATAAGAGCAGAATTCCACCTCAAAAAAAATAAATTAAAAAAAAAAAATTAGCTGGGTGGTGTGAGCCTGTAGTCCCCAGCCACTTGGGAAGTTGAGGTGGGAGGATCACTTGAACCTGGGAGGCAGAGGTTGCAGTGAGCCAAGATCACACCACTGCACTCTAGCTTGGGTGAAAGAGTGAGACTCCATCTCAAAAATAATAATACTAATAAAATAAAACACCAAAAAGTAGATGAGACATGCACATGAGTGGCCAAAGAGAATCCAAACCTACTCTACTCCAGGCTCCAACACATACCTGAGATGCAAAGAGAACTTTGATAGTGTATCGCCCAGCAGCAGGAGGCACATATTTGACTGTAAACGTATCATTGGCATTGTGAATAATGTCAAAATCCACGTCTTCCTCATCTTCACTTAACACCCGGGCATCACACTTAATGCCAACGCTGACATCACCTGGAACAGACCAGCTTATTAGCACCAGCTTACAAGAAACAGCATGTCCTGTGCAATCTCTTCCAGCTCAAGTTAACACCCCCAAAAAGCAATTGGGAAGCTTCTAGTAAGAAACTTGAGAAAAAGTAAGGATTTAGGGAAAGAGATGATGGATTAGCAAAGACACCACCAAGGAATGACTCAGAGGCTCAGTAGATGATTACTTATTCAGATGGACTACTTCCTAGTTCAAAGGGAATTGCCCTCAAAACGTTATGAGAAGAACTCCCTTCCCCAAGAAGCAATGATCACTGGGTTGAACGAGGCCCTTTCTCACCTTCCCCAGCCTCAGTACAGTCCACTGTGAAGTGTGTAGGTTCATTTGCCTTCAGACCACTTCTCTCCACTCCTGGCCCAAACACTTTAACCTTCTGAGGATGGCTACCTTGCCCGATGTTGACCTAGAGAGACATGGAGAAGGTCATCAAGTTCTCCTCCACTTGGACCCAGTAAAATACTAATAAAAAACATTGTTAGAAATAGTTCTTCTGGGTGGGCTGGAGCACTCTGCCCTTCAGGCCCCTCCATCATTCAGTTCCCACCAGGGACGGGTTCCTTTCACATGTCTGCCTTGGCCGTCAGGCATGGATCCCAGACCTGGTGTATGACCAAGCGTTTCTATACAACAGCCAGGATTCTGCCTCACAACCTACCCTGAAGGGGCTGTGCGGGATGTTCACGCCTCCCCAGACCACAGCAATGGTATGCTTGATGGCCTTCACCGGAGTGTATGAGCAAGCATATGTGCCGTCCATCCGACTCTTCATCTGGATGTCAATAGGTTGGCCTTCCCCATCCTGCAAAAAAACCAGAGCTAGGACCAGAGGTGGTCCTCACATTGTCTCTATCAAACAGGGCTACTGTGGCCTCCCAAGACAGCCAAGTCACCATTTGCTTATACAACAAAACTTCATGGACCAACTACAACGTGCCATGTTTTCACAACGTGATGACAACCTGTGACAAAATATAACATGTATTTATTTTTAGTTATTAAAAGCAAGTGGCCCAAAAACAAAGCTATGGCCACTCAATGCTTCGTAATTTCAATTCCTGCATTTAAGTCCTTTGGCCAAATTCAATTAGATTAAATAAACATACTTTTTAAATCCTTGTTTACAAATCTCCCACCATGACCTCAGCAGCTTCAGCCACACCAAAAGACATTACAGAATAACCTGAAACAAACAAGCCTCATTTCCACAGAACACAAATCAGAAAGATTATTTTTTTAAAAGCCCAGTACTCTATATGGTAGTCTCACTGAACCCTCACATAACCCCATAAGATAATCTTCTTATCATTTCGAAGGTGCAGATGAGGAAACTGAAGATCAGATGGACTCAGCAACTTGCCATTACATGGACAGATCTTGTTACCTGACAATTACCTGCACAGGTGGCCCCCTGAAATTTACCTGAGCAAATATCTTTAAGGGAGCTTTTCCAGCATCCTTAGGATCCACAGTGAACTCGGCCAGGTTGCTGACAATGCACCCAGATTTCTCCAAACCTGGCCCATATGCTCGAACCTGAAGCAAAGGCAGATAATAAGTCTCTTTCTGTGTAATGCCCCAACTAAACCCTTATACAAAGACAGGTAACCAGGGGATGGGGGAAGAACAAAATGACCTGTGTCTGGTTTTACAGTATCCACATAAGAGGATGGTTTTTTTTTTTTGTTTTTTGAGACGGAGTCTCGCTTTGTCGCCCAGGCTGGAGTGCAGTGGCGCGATCTCGGCTCACTGCAAGCTCCGCCTCCTGGTTACGCCATTCTCCTGCCTCAGCCTCCTGAGTAGCTGGGACTACAGGCGCCTGCCACCGCCCGGCTATTTTTGTATTTTAGTAGAGACGGGTTCACCGTGGTCTCGATCTCCTGACCTTGTGATCCGCCCGCCTCGGCCTCCCAAAGTGCTGGGATTACAGGCGTGAGCCACCGCGCCCGGCCCACATAAGAGGATGGTTACAGGAAGTAAAGTGCTAAAGTAGGTTGTAACTTAAAAACAAATGTCTCTCCCTCATAAGGGAGAAAACTCTCTAAACAAATCCAAACCACGGCCTGAAGGCCCCATGAGGCCCAGGATGGCTTTGAATGTAGCCCAACACAGATTTGTAAACTTTCTTAAAACATTACAAAATTTTTTGCAATTTTGTTTTTGTTTTTCTTCATCAGCTATCGTTAGTGTATTTTATGTGTGGCCCAAGACAATTCTTCTTCCAATGTGGCCCAGGGAAGGCAAAAGATTGGAAACCCATTCTAAAACCATGCCCAAACTAACCCATGCTCCCTGCCTTATTCTGAGTTGACCTAGAGAACTTCTAACAACTGGGGCAGAGACCTCCAGTCATGCCCAGTTTCAATGTTACCACTTTGAGGGGACTCAGAATCTTTACCACGGACATTTGCCCTAGAGGGCAAAGGAATAGCATTTGGCCAAAAAGGGGTAGCTACCAGCCCAGACTGACATCAGCCTATGGACAGCTGCCCGTGTGGGCCAACAGTAGCACACCTGGCATGTGGGGCCAACTCCCTGTCAGCCAGGCTGGCTTAGACTTAATGCTTATCAGCCTGCTAATGGTTTGAGAGGAAACTCTTGGAAACACTGCTCCAACTTAAGAGGCAGGGAACTAGGGGAAAAAACCTCCTTTATCTATGGAGCATCTTGAAATAATAACTACAGAAAATGGCTATAATACTGACATATGATCCCTGGAGTTGCAAGAAAATAACAGCTTATGGAGCTCCCTGCATGGGCCAGGCATGAGCTAAAGGCTGTCTTTATGCATGCCACCTCTTGAATCATCGTAGAAGCAGAGACTACTATCATTCCTGTCTTATAGAGGAAGACACCAAGAGTCAGACAGGTAAGTTACTGCCCAACACTATAAGAAGTGCTAAGTGATCCTACCAGGATTCAAATGTAGGCCTGGGCTGGGTGTGGTGGCTCACGCCTGTAATCCCAGCACTTTGGGAGGCCGAGGCAGGTGGATCACTTGAGGTCAGGAGTTCCAGACCAGCCTGGCCAACATGGTGAAACCCCATCTCTACTAAAAAATACAAAGATCAGCTGGCTATGGTGACGCATGCCTGTAGTTCCAGGTACTCGGGAGGCTAAGGTACGAGAATCGCTTGAACCCAGAAGGCAGAGGTTCCAGTGAGCTGAGATCATGCCACTGTATCCCAGGCTGGGCGACAGAGCAAGACTCTGTCTCAAAACAAACAAACAAACAAATGCAGGCCTGTTTCCTTCCTAAAATCCAAATGATTCCTCTCTGCCGTCTCTCAACATGCTGCTTAAGGCAACTTCGGGCATGGGGGTGAGGAACCAGGGGCCAGGGACAAGAAGATAGAAGCATAGCAGCTGATTCACCAGATCAGGGTTGTAGTCTCCCGTGGCTGGGTGGATGAAGGCCATGTACGGGCTATCCTTGATGTCTTCGTCGTCACACATGATGTGAACAGCATATTCGCCAGGCTCCTTGGGCCAGTATTTGACGTCACATGATCCATCATTCTGGTCATCGTACTCAATCTTTGCCTGAGAGGGGCCTTCAATGGCAAACCCTAGGGGGTGGAGGTAGAAGGGTCTCCCTGGTTATATGGTGGAAAGCACCTATTCTATGTTATGACAGCTCATTCCTGCTGCCTCCCTAAAAGCCAAGTGTTGACCAGAAGATTGAAATCTATTTGTGTCCCTTTCTCCCAAAACCAAGCTCATCGAGTCTTCAGTAGAGATGGAAGGGGTGGAATATATATATATAGTATTAAATACATTATATGTATTTTATCATCATCCAACAGGGAAAGTCCAACCAGCAAACCTTTCTGTTGGAGATGTGGCAACATGTGGCAAAAGCCTTGAACCAACACCCACTCTTTGCACCACCAAATCCACTTCTGGGTTTTTATCTGAAGGTAATTACCAAGGACACACAGTCAGCACTGTTTTCATAGCAAAACCTTGGAAATAACTAGAGAGCCTGACAATGGATACAGCCATACAATGGAATTCCATGGAAGCCATGGAAAATGAAGGCATACCCTATATTTACACATAAAGATATAAAGACTTGTCCAAGATATTTTCTGCACCAAATCAATATTTGCATGCATACGTACAGAGAAAAAAGTCTAGAAGGATACACTAAAAGGCTTAATATTATCTCTAGACTATGAATATACAAGACGATTAATATCATCTCTCTAGAAGGGAAAAATAAATGTGATTTCTTGTTTTTCTCTTTTGCTGATTGCTATGACCTAAAACAGGGGTTGCTAAACCACAGTCTGAAGGCCACATCTGGCCCATTGCTTACTTTTGCAAATAAAGTTTTACTGGAACATGGCCACACCCATTTGTTTACGTATTCCTATAGTTGCTTTCAGGCCTACAATGGCAGAGTCAAATAACTGTGACAGAGACCATAGGGCCCACAGGTGGAAAATATTTGCCATCTGGCCCTTTATAGAAGAAGCTGGCTGACTCCTGATATAAAATGATCATATATATATTAGACATGTATTTAAAATATACTTCAGCTGTGCTCCAAAGAAAATATTTATCTTCCAAATCCAAATTTCAGCAAAATTCATTCATTCATTCATTCATCTAAACTATAGGTCAGTCAACACTATTTGCTAAGTGTTTACTATATTCCAAGCGTTGTTTTAGGCACAATACCCACATAAGGCTTCTGCCCCCAACTCTCCCGGATGAATGAATGCTGGTATCAGAGGCAACTGCAAATGGAAATGGCAACTCTACAGCAGCACGCAGAGATGGCTTAGGGTGGCTAGGAAGCCAGGAAGCTAAAGGTATTGAGGCTAGGCAAGGCCCCAACATCCAACCTGACGCAGCCCAGAAGCCCTGTAATCCTCAGTCCTCCAGAAGATGCCGGTCAGCTGCGTCCACTTACCCAGAGACCCCACTTCAGAGCCAATGGATTCCACCACGAAGTCTGCCGACCGCCCGACAATCCCACCATGGAGCCCAGGGCCCCAAGCACGGACTTTCTGCATACCTGCTTCAGGGCCAACTTGAACTTCAAAGGGGCTACAGGGAAAGGAATAGAAGCATCAAAGAAGAGTAAAGTAAGGCCTCACTATAGCCACAAGCTGCAGTTCCTTGGCATATTCTTTCCACTTGCCTGATCCTTTCACCTGGCATCCCAAACTCCAGCCAACCCCTTCCTCCCGCAGGCCCCTCACCCATAGCTATTGTTATGTCAACAATATAATGTAATGTGACTGCTTCTGGGAGCTCAGGTGGCCACTAGGTTGACACTCAAGCCACGCTGCTTTGCACCAGCCTCCTGGTCTTTTACCTTTGTGTGCAGGCCTCCCCAGACTATGACTCTGGAAAGTGAGAAAGTCCACATACACTATATCCTGCTTATGCTATAACCAGAAAACTCGGTTGAACGGGCTTTATCTCATACATGAATGAATGTGCTGTAACCTTGGCATGGGAGGCTTAAAAAAAAAAGTGTGGTAGGTATTCAGAACCCAATAATGCCCAAATATTTCTCAAGGCTAACTGAATTTATTTGGAGTTTAAAGTTGCACCCCCAGGGGAGCTGGAAAACACAGAACGCAGAGGGGCAAGTGCACTGCCCACAAGGCAAAGCTGTAGACTGTGTCCCTTGGCCCCTGAAAGCATCACGTAGACGGTCTTAATGTAAACCACAGCAGATTTTGCCCCGTGGCATTCATGAACAAAGGAGTTCATTGAAAAAGAGAATCTCAGTGTATATGCGGGCATCTAGACACACAGCCCATTTGCTCTAACTGCTCCTGCCTCCCCTGCCTCCCACCAGCCCCTAACCGCCAGCATTTGATTTAAAGCAAGTCAGCTAAAACCACAGCAACTTTCTGCTGCTTTTGAGAACAGGCCAAATGTCTGTGCAGCTCTGAAAAAAAAAAAAAGCTTTCAACAAAGCAGATCTCTTTCCCTCCTGCAGCCCGGGAAGCAACCACCCGTGAGTCTGCCCTGGGCCGAGCACCCTCCAGAGAAGACCCCTCTGCAGCAGGAGCCTCACCTCTTTGGAATGTGGTGTCCCCCCCATGTGATGGCAATGCTGTATCTCCCCGGGGTGCTGGGGTAATACTCGAATGCGTAGACCCCATCCAGAAAGCCTTTCTGCTTCACCAGCTCCTCCAGACCCTCTGTGGGAAAGAAGGAGACAATCTTTCCAATACAATCCTAGGCCCAAAATGAGAATCAAAAGGACAAGAAGAGAGAGGCAGCCACACTGACAAAACGTAAACCATACATAAAAACCAAGTGGACTGCCCCAAAGTATGGGACCTCTCCCCACCAAGCCTGGGAGATTACTTCAAAGCTAAAAACACAGCCATCTCTGCTTCAAGGTATGAGGAAATGGAGGACTTCCCAGCTAACTGGCTTTAGAAATCTCACTTGGCTACGAGGGGCCCTGAGGTCCTGAACTCCCTGGACCTGTGTAAAGATAAATCCAGTCACATTTCAGTATTTCCCAATAATCATAGCTACCCTTCCCAGTCCCACAAAAACTGGGGAAGAAGCAAACCTTTAGAAGTATTTGGTATGAGTTTTAAGTTAAGTGTTCCAGCGTATCCTTTTCCATCGAAAGCTGGACAACAAAAGCAAGAAAGTCCTTGGATGCTATCTGCAAGAGGACAGGTTTTAGATGCGACGCTGCAAACTCTAAGCCCAGCTATCAGGCAGGAACCTGTTTTGTGTTGAGCCCTGAGGTTTGGCCAGGAAAGCTGTTGAGTCAAGCAAGTATCCAAGGTCAGGAGAAAACACACACACGTGCATGCATGCACGCGCACACACACACGCACACACACTCCCCTCCTTGGCTCCTGTTGCAATAATCTGGGAGGGAAGATAGCCCCCAAGCAGCTTGACTCCAGGTCTGGGCAGTCTAGAACCTTGGCTACCCTCAGGGCACAGCCTGCCCCAAAGCCAGGTGCTGTGAAGTCAAATATTAACTTTCCGGAGCTCAGAATGCTCCTGCCCCAGCCTGTTGGGAACACAGAGGGTAAGAGCAATCCTGATACAGGAAGCTCAAGATTCCACAGGCATGGGAGTAAAACCACTAAAGGCTGCTACACCCGAGACTAGAAGTGCTGAAATGCTTCTCTGTTCCCAGGAAAAAAGTGAAGACACCCGTCCCCACATCTGCTGTCTCCTTCCCCAAAAGAGGGAGAGAGAATAGGTTGCAGGGTTTAACCTGTCCCTCCACAAATGGCATTTATCTACAAACAAAACTTAATCTTAGGGAATTTTATTCTCCTTCTATAAGCACTGATCATAGTAATTAAGTACTCGACATAATTTCATACTCTATAAAATGTAACCTGTAGTGAGAAAATCACTGGCTTTGGAGACTGTGCTTGAATTCCAGCTCAGATGCTTACAAAAGCTGTATGACCTTGGGCAAGAGCCTTCCTCTCTGAGCCTAGATTTCTAAAATAAAAAAATGAGCCACTTGTTTCCAACAGCAGCATTTCCCCAACTCCTTTACATCACTGCTTTTTCTACTCCCAGAAGTCTTGATGCAATGTAAAGCTGTCAAGCCACCCACTGTCTGCATCCAGGGCAGACATTACTAATCAATCACTGCTGTCTTCCCCAAGGAGCCCAGATAGCCTCAAATCCTTGACATAGCCTTCTGGGGTTATTGAGGAAAACCAGCCGTGGGATGAAATCCATATGCCATGACTGCAAAGTTAGTCAAAACCACACCTGAGACAGAGAAACAAAAGAACACTTACTAGGACCCTTCACGGTTACACTGAGCTCCCCACTTCCTGCAGCTTTGGTGTCAACCTTGAAATCTGCAGTCTCCCGGATACGGACGCCCTTGGGTTGCAGGCCTCGGCCACTGGCCCGGCAGGCATTTGGATTGCAGGCTGCAAGCACAGTTTTGACATCAATTCAATCTTTCATTCTTTAGTCAGAGTCGTGAAAGCCAAGGTAACCTGGAGCCACCCGCCAAGAAAATATTTGCTTTGCACAAATAGTATGTAGTAGTTGCCCAAGACCAGGGGTCCCACTCAGGGAGCACACCAGGCTAGCAAATACAGACACAACATAACTTTGTCCAGTCACACCACAGAAGGACTGGAGAAAAGCGACTTTGGCAAAGAAAACAGGAGAGCACAGCAAATCCATGCTGTGCTCCTGGTACCAGCATTTAACTTTTCATTTGTGAAAGGGAGTTAAGGCCGAGTACTGGACATTATTCAAACCTCACTGCCATACTCAAGGGCTCAGTAATTGGATAGACTGGACTTTTGCAAGTCTTCTTGGAAAATGCAGTACTTGAAAATGCCTGTCTGGGTTCCAAAACCTGGGTCAGCCATTTTTAAGTGTCTAAATGTTGTTGTCTTCCACCTGAACAACCAGGCAAAAACAACCAACACAGCTTGGAAAGAGACCAGTTCAGCCCCACCTTGGCTGAGGCAGACCAATCTTTTAGTGCTGTCTGTTACAAGGCCTTCAGAATGTGGGTGGCTATAAAGGCAATAATTAGCAGTAAACACCACTGCTGATTTCATTTCCGGGTCTAGCTTGAAAACCTAAAGTTGTAAGTCTAAAAGTTAAGGACAAAGATAGCTTCTAATATCCCTTATTGAAATGTCCACAGAACTACTGTTCCATGGTATCTAGAGGTTGATAAAAGATACCTTTATGCCCTAGAATAAATCCTCTGCCCAGCATGGACAACCTTTTCAGTAAATAGAAACGGGAGACTAGTGGGGGAAATGTCATATTATTAAGTGGCTTTTCCTTTCAAATTCCTTTCAAATACTGCAAATTTGACAACTCTCTATACAGGAAGGTCACAGACTTCAGAAGATGGGACTCTACTTCATAGACAGAAGGTAATTCCTTCTCTGGTTCATCCTTCCTGCAATGGCCTTAGTTGGCTATTTGGCAAAGAACTGCTTCCCAAAGAGTCATACATATACTCTTGGAGTTAGAGATGATTTTAGATGTTTTATGGATGAACATAAGCTTATGGTGGCACTTTATGGCAAGTGACTTCGGTTTTCCATTGTGAAAGTGATAAAAAGTTTCTTTTAACATAAAATCATTTACACCTGTAAACCCAGCACTTTGGGAGGCTGAGGCAGGGAGATCGCTTGAGTCCAGGGGTTTAAGACCAGTCTGGGCAACATAGTGAGACCCCATCTCCACAAAAAGAGAAAAATTAGGCCAGGCATGGTGGCTCATGCCTGTAAATCCAGCATTTTGGGAAGCCGAGGCAGGTGAATCGCTTGACATCAGGAGTTCGAGACCAGCCTGGCCAACATGGTGAAACCCAGTGTCTACTAAAAGTACAAAAAAACTAAGCTGGGCGTGGTGGTGTGCACCTGTAGTTCCAGCTACTCAGGTGGCTGAGGCATGAATCACTTGAACCAGGGAAGCAGAAGCTGCAGTGAGCCAAGATTACACCACTGCACTCCAGCCTGGGTGAGAGAGTGAGGCTCTGTCTCAAAAAAAAAAAAAAAAAAAAAAAAAAAAAGAAAGAAAAGGGGGAAAAAAAAGGTAAAACATTAACCAGGCATGGTGGTGCACATCTACAGTCTTAGCTACTCAGGAGGCTGAGGTGGGAGGATCATTTGAGCCTGGGAGGTCGAGACTACAGTGAGCCATGATGGTACCACTGCATTCCAGCCCAAAAGACAGAATGAGACCCTGTATCTTTCCCACTGCCCCCCTGCAAATATATATATATATATTTTTTTTTTAACAAATATATATATATATTTTACATATATAAAATCATTTAGGTCGGAGAGGGGATGTTAGTAAATTAAAAGAAAAAGGTTATTAATTAAATGCTAAATAGTATAGGATGTACAGGCCAGAAAAGAAAAAGGAAGTCCATGAGTGAGGAAAGGTTGGAAAACAATAGTAGAATTAGGAAATCTATTCAAAATGCTCTCTTATGTAAAAAAGAGCTTTGCTTAGGAATACGTTAGAATTTTTTTTGCCTGTTTTTTCTTTGTAGACGGAGAAAAGTTGGTCACACCAGAAATAAGTCACAATACAATGACAGGACTTCCTCGGAGGGTTTTAATGTGTCTTAAGAAACATACACACTCATGGAAATTATGAACGTGTGCAACAGTCTCAACATCAAAAGAGTAACTGCTGAGTTCATATAAACATTAAATGGGGCTAGAGTCTGAAGGGCACCACCAGCTCCTCCACTATCTAAAAAAGCCCTAGATGTGTTTAAAGGCAATTAGAGAGTGGGTTTGGGTGCCGGCTGGACAAGCTGTAATAATAACACCTGCACAGGAGTTTCCTAAAATCACACAGAGCACGGGCTCAGCTAACATTCACAAGCAGCACAAAGAACTGGCAAGGAAGTCCCACCCACCCAGCCCTTACCAAGCAAGAGGCCTCTGGCCCAGTGGTCTCAACTAGGAAGCCAACAGCTTCAGGGTCCAGGCTGGCCCAGAGGTAGGATTCGGAAGAGGAAGCCACGTCTGCAGACGCAGATTCGGAGGACAGAACAGGGAAAGGCAAGTGTGGGTTAGAAAAGGTAGTACAGTTGGAAAACAAAACAAAACAAAACAGAAAAAAAGGGGCAACAAAGTCAGAGGGAGAGAGTCTAACATTTGAGAAAAATGCATATCCCCAGCGCCAGAGGGAGTTTAGCAGAGTAGTTAAGCGTAAGGCCAACAGAGTCTGCGGTTCTAGCCCTACTGATGCCTTGTAGTACTGACACCTAACATTATCTAAGCCTCAGCATCTCCACCTGCAAGCTAGGGATAATAATAGCACCTGCAACACACAGGCTGATGCAATGATTAGATGCAGTCATGGTAAGTGCCTGGGCCAGTAAAGGCCAAGCAATGGAGGCTGCAGGGCCCATGTTGCTGCTGCTAACTTGGGTTATGATGCCGACTCCTCCCACTGCCTCAGTCCCACCTCCCTCAGTGAGGATAATGACTCTCCTGTACATGTGTTTTGGAGAGAAGTAAATGAGTTAATATAAGTAAAGCACTTAGGTCTCTGCGTGGCTCATAGAAGATATTAATATTAATATATAGAGGACAAAGTAAGCCACTTCCTGCTGAAGTAGCCCTGGCAGAAAAGGACAGGCAGTGTTGGGCCCCGTTTTCCTGGCCTCCCTGCCCAGCTGTGCAGTCAGCTTCCACATGAGAAGCAGATGTCTCCAGCCACCCAGCACTCACCTTCCCCAACCTGCACAATGAAGGGACTCTTAGGAATAGTGTCCCCAGCAAAGAAGACCTTGACCACGTGGGGGCCGGGCTGCATGGGTTTGTACACACATCGATACACCTGGTTTCCTTTGTCTTCCACGAGCAATTCCACAGTGTTCTTCCCCTGGGGATCTTCCACCTCCACACCAATGTCACCCACACCAGCTCCTATGAGAAAGCAAGCATTCCTTGAGCCCAGGTCACCCTCTCTGAAAGCTCACTGCTGCTGAGTGCAAAATGTAAACAGGACCAGTGTGGTGGTTCACACTTGTAATCCCAGCACTTCAGGAGGCCAAGGTGGGCGGATCACTTGAGGTCAGGAATTCGAGACCAGCCTGGCCAATATGGTGAAATTCATCTCTACTAAAAAAAAAAACAACAAAAATTAGCCAGGCGTGGTGGTGCACGCCTGTAATCCCAGCTACTTGAGAGGCTGATGCGTGAGAATTGCTTGAAACCAGGAGGTGGAGGTTGCATTGAGCTGAGATTACACCACTGCACTCCAGCTCGGGCAACAGAGCGATTCTCTGTACCCCTCCCCCGCCAAAAAAAAAGCAAACAGGAGACAAGCTCTCAGGGAGGTCCACACCAAGATGTTAACTAAGGGTTTATGGTTGAATGTTTCCTTTATCTGCATTTTCTATTTACTACATGGAAAAGAAGCTGACAATTCAAGAAGTATGTCTTATTCAAGTGAAGCTTGAGTATTTTAGAGAAGAAAAGCTGGTTTTGAAAAATCTAATGTAACACATTTGAAAAAACTGTCTTTGTGATTATTTATTTGATTTAAAAGACAAAAGGTCAGGCCTCCAAGTTCCTGAAGATTACATTTCAGCCTTTGGAAGGAAGCCCAAAGGTCAGATCCATGGAGGAGAGGCACATTACCTGCCGTGTAGATGTCAAAGTAAGTGGGCTTATTGGCGATGTTCCCTACAGCTTCCAACCCTGGACCTTTTGCAGTGACTTTACTGGCGTCTCCCTGGGCCTTGTCAACATTCACTTCAAATGGGCTCTTGGAGATGTGCTGTCCTGCAAAGAGGACTGTGACCTGTAGGTAACAGATAGGTGAGAAATACATAATCACTTCTCTATGCACCCAGCAAGACTGCCATCAAGCCACATGCATTGATGATCACCTCTCCTACCCTCCCATGATGGCACACACAAGGTGTCTAGAATGAGGAGCCCTGGAACCAAGTTTAACAGCCTGAATAGGACTCCCACCTGGCCCCTTCAGCCACACAGCTGGGTCTGAGGCATCACACCTTTAGCAAAATAAAAATGCTGACCTTAGATATGCTTAGTCTCTTTAATAGGAAACAAACACATTTCAATCTCTGGACATTGAGTCCTTTCAGGGGGCTGAATGGGCCACTATCCCTCAGAATAAAATGTACAGTTCCAGGATTTCAAATCCACAGCCAAACTGTTTTTTCAAGGGACCAAGATCATTCTCAGACACATGGATTTGCGACAAAGCAGAATGATTTCCACCTAAAACTTGAGTCACTGTTCTCATCTTTGAAATTTTGGGGGAGTAATTGGGTTGGGTTTCATATGAACCTATACTTGATTGGAATGAATTAATTACATTATAAACACTCCCTTCAAGAGCATTTATTTCAAATGCATCATATTCTAAGAGTCTAAGAGAACGCTAAGGCCATCGTTCCAGGTGAATTCACTAAAGCCCAAGGTGGTCTATATTCAGTCTATATTCCAAAGTCTGGGCAGGTACATGATGGGATTGGCCTTTATGTGCTGTTGAGGGCTTTCTTCCAATGAAAAGTGTGATCTTGGGTCACCCCACTCTCCTGCAAGACAGGCTCTCTTAGCTCTTGCCCTGTAGGCCACCTGGATGTCATCTCAAACAGAACACGAAAGGTTGCCAAGACAAAGAGCCTGAGGCCTCATTCCCTCTTATTTCTCCAGGTGCTGAGGGGGCCATTTCCCTCTACTATATTCAGCTGAACTACTCCATCCTCAGCCTTCAATGCTGACAGCCCCTCCAGAGCACCTCCAAGGGGAGTACTTAAGAAAGCATTAAGGACAAAGAGCCAGCAAGGTGCAGTGGCTCATGTCTATAATCTCAGCACTTTCGGAGGCTGAGGCAGGAGGATAGCTTGAGGTCAGGAGTTCAAGAACAGCCTAGGTAACCTGGTGAAAACCCGGTCTCTACTACAAATGCAAAAATTAGCGGGGAGTGGTGGTGGGTACCTATAATCCCACCTACTCGGGAGGCTGAGGTGAGAGGTTTGCTTGAGCCAGGAGGCGGGGGTTGCAGTGAGCTGAGACCACACCACTGCACCCCAGCCTGGGCGACAGAGCAAGACCCTATCTCCAAAAAAAGAATCAAGGAAAAAGAGTCCATCTATAGTGTAGTCACCACAGCATCTACACTCCAGACACACAGCTGCAACCATTAGTTACCTAGATGGAGTTGGAAAAACCTTACGACACTGCAAACAACTCATCCTAGCTAGTCGAGGGAATCCTAGCGATTCCAATTTTCTATGAGGAGCATAGATTCTTCTATAATCAGAAAGGAAAATCAGAAATTCACTTAAGAAAAACAACTCTTTTTCTTGGGCTATCTTTCTTCTCCAAGTCCCAAAAGCAGCCCAAGCCACGGCCATGCTGCTTCATCTTACTTTGTGCAGCCCAGTGACCTTGGGCAGATACTCCACAGAGTATGTCTTGTTCTTGTCGCTGTCAGGGGTCACTTGTGCCTAGGAGGAAAGGTGGGCAACAGTTAGAAAAGGCGCCGGGTGTGAGTAAGGAGCATGCTGTGTCAGCAGGGGTTCTGCAGGAGCTGCCAGGTTGGGAACACTGAAGATGCTGGCGAGCTTCTGTCCCTCTTGCACAACGCCCCAAGAGAGAAGCTGCCAAAAGTCACAGAAACAAAACCACACAGTGCAGAAGCATAACAGAGTCAGGACTCTCCAGTGTCCAGCATCAGGCTGGCACTCTCTAGGTAAGAGGGAATATGAAGCAAGAAACTTAAACCTTTATCCACTCAATAGTTCATTGAAAGCTTATGAAATGCCGGTCCCAGTGTTAGGTACTAAAAATAAAACATGAGCAAGTCAGGCACAATCCCCACCCCAGTGGGAGAAATGGACCATCCAGCAGTAAACTTAAGAAATGCAAATTATGCTAAATGCCAAGAATAAAATAAGTCCTAATAAGTGATAGAAAGAACAGCATGTGCAAAGGCTCTGAGGGAGGAACCAAAGAATGGCCAGTGTGGGAAGAGAGCAGGGCAAGACTATCTTATTATTCTGGCCATCAGTATCTAAAACCTCAACAGAGGCTGGGCTCAGTGGCTCACACCTGTAATCCCAGCAGTTTGTAAGGCCGAGGCGGGTGGATCACCTGAGTTCAGGAGTTTGAAACCAGCCTGGCCAATGTGGTGAAACCCTGTCTTCACTAAAAATACAAAAATTAGCCAGGCATGGTGGCAGATTCCTGTACTCCCAGCTACTCAGGATACAAAAATTAGTCATGCTGAGGCAGGAGAATCGCTTGAACCCGGAAGGTGAAGGTTGCCGTGACCCGAGATTGTGCCACTGCACTTCAACCCGGGCAACAAGAGTGAAACTCAGTCTCAATAAATAAATAAATAAAAATAATAAAACCTCAACTGACAAGGCACCTTTGCTAAATACAAAGTATCCTTTATTTCATTAAACACTGTGTCCCTGGCAATCAATTTAAATTCAATTTCAAGGCTCAGCTCTTGGGCAGGTTACTTTAACAGCAATAAGCCTCAGTATCCTTCTGGTAAAAAAAAAAAAAAAAAAAAAACCCACCTGTTGTGAGCTGAAATGAGGAAAATGGAGGCATAGTCCCTGGCCTCATTACAAGCCCCAAAAGTTCCATGAGGTGCTAGAAAGGAGAGGCAGCATCCTCCAACATACCTCTTCTTTGTTCCCTTCTGGGTCCTCAACAAACACCATCACGTCTCCTTGCCCGGCGCTGATGGTGTCCACAGTGAATTTGGCTGGCTGCTTCACCATGTTTCCAGTGGGCTCGATTCCTGCCACAGGTTTACACAGACACGTTAGAAGCCGGGCGAGAGTGTGGCATGAGCCATCGCCCACTGCATCTCTTTCAGGGAACTGAGAGATGGGACCCAGCCCTGCAGATCCCACGTCGGAAATGGGGACAAACTGCCTTGACAAGGACAATCAGACAGGTTGAAAGCCTTAATTTTGTCCATGTTATTGAAGCAATATCCAATTTTGATATTCAGAGAACCTCAGTCAGGAGTTTATACAAAATTGTGGAAAATAACGTGGTTAGTAAGTAGTAGCAGAGCTTGCCTTGATGGAAGCAACACAGCAGGGAGGAGGGAAGCTTATTTCTCATTAAACAGCATTTATTGTATTGCCTGACATTTTTAAAAATTACATTCAATCATTTTTTAAATTAACCTTTTTATTTTAAGATGATTGAGCAAATTCATTGAGACAGATTTTACCTGTAGGCGTAAGAAACAATGCCCTTGCTGGGCACGGTGGCTCACGCCTGTAATCCCAGCACTTTGGGAGGCTGAGGCAGGTGGATCACCTGGGGTCAGGCATTCAAGACCAGCCTGGCCAACATGGTGAAACCCTGTCTCTACTAAAAATACAACAATGAGCCAGGTGTGGTGGCGCATGCCTGTAATCCCAGCTACCTGGGAGGCTGAGGCAGAAGAACTGCTTGAACCGGGGAGGTGGAGGTTGCAGTGAGCCCAGATCGCACCCTAGGCAACAGAGCATGACTCCATCTCAAAATAGTTTCCCCAGTGGTAACACGGTAAAAAGCTATGACTCAATCTCACAATCAGGGTATTGACGTTGATACAATCAAAATAGAGAACATTCCCTTTAGCACAGGGAGTCCTCCTGCTGCCCTTGCATAACCACACCCACACTCTCCTTAGCCCTGATAACCACTAACCTGTTCTCCACACCGTAATTTTATTATTTCGGTAACGTCACATCAATGGAATCATAACTATGTAACCTTTTAGGACTGGTCTTTTTCACTACACATAATTGTCTACAGGTTCACCCAGCTTGTTGCTTCTATCAATGTTTTTTTTTCCTTTTTATTGCTGAGTAGCTAATATTCCATGGTATAGATGTACCACAGTTTAACCATTCGCCCACTGAAGAACATCTGGGTTATTTCTAGTTGTCTATTACCAGTAAAGCTGCTGTAAACATCTGTGCATAGGGGTGTGTGTGTGTGTGTGTGAATGTAAGTATAAAATAGTAAGAAATTATATATATAGGTCTCTACCCCTGGTTCCAGAGTTCCTAAACTCCTTGGAATGTCCTTGGTGTCAAGACCATCTTCTGTTCTAATGAGGCAACTCTTAGTGGGCTCCCGGATAGCTTTCAGGATGGGGCTAATCAACAGAAAGACCAAGTCGTGATCAGAAGCTTAGAACTTTTGGCCCCACTCCCCATCCTACAGGGAAGGGAGAGGAACTGTAGTCTCAATTAATGTCAATCATGCCTACGTGACTTAGCCTCCACAAAAATCCCTTAAGTACGGAGTTTAGAGAGCTTCTGGGTTGGTGAACACATCCATGTGCCAAGAGAATGGCCCGCCCCAACTTCATGGGGACAGACGCTCCTGTGTTCAACACCCCTCTAAACTTTGCCCCATGTACCTCTTCATCTGGAGGATCATCTGTATCCTCTATCATATCCTTCACTACACAACTGCTAAAGGGAAGTGTTTCCCTGAGTTCTGTGAGCCACTCTAGCAAATAATGTAACAGGAGGAAGGGGTAACGGGAACTTCTGATTTGTAGCAAACCTGGACAGAAGTTGTGAGTAGCGTGAGGACCCGCCACTTCTGACTGGCCCTTGAAGTCGGGGTGAGTTTTGAAGGACTGAGCCCTTAGTGGGGTCCGCACTAACTTCAGGTAGACAGTGTCAGAATTGAAGCGAATTGATTATAGGACACCTACTTGTTGTCCACATAAAATTGGAGAATTGGTCAGTATGGGGGGAAAAGTCCATAGATTTTGGTGACCAGAAGTGAAGTATTGCGAGGAGTAGTAGAGAAGAAAAGTTTTTTTCTTTAGCTGTGAGAATATAGAAGGAAAAACAGTGGCTCTCCTATACAGTAAGTTTTCATTCCTCTGGGATAAATGCCAAGGAGTGCAATTGTTGGGCCATATGGTAGCTACATGTACTGTTTTTTGAGGTTTTCTTTTTGTTTTTGTTTTGAGAACAGTCTCACTCTGTAGCCCAGACTGGAGCACAGTGGCTCAATCATGGCTCACTGTAACCTTTACCTCCCAGGCTCAGGCAATCCTCCTGCCTCAATCTCCTGAGTAGCTGGGACCACAGGTGTGTACCACCACACCTGGATAATTTTTAAAAATTATCTGTAGGCTGGGCGCGGTGGCTCACGCCTGTAATCCCAGCACTTTGGGAGGCCGAGGCGGGTGGATCACGAGGTCAGGAGATCGAGACCATCCTGGCTAACACGGTGAAACCCCGTCTCTACTAAAAATGCAAAAAAATTAGCCAGGCGTGGCGGCGGGTGCCTGTAGTCCCAGCTACTGGGGAGGCTGAGGCAGGAGAATGGCGTGAACCTGGGGGGCGGAGCTTGCAGTGAGCCGAGATCGCGCCACTGCACTCCAGCCTGGGCGACTGAGCGAGACTGTCTCAAAAAAAAAAAAAAAATTATTTGTAGAGATGCAATCTCCCTATGTTGCCCAGACTGGTCTCAAACTCCTGGGCTCAAGTGATCCTCCGGCCTCAGCCTCCCAAAGTGCTTGGGATTACAGAAGTGAGCCACTGTGCCCAGCCTATTTCTTTATTAAGAAACTGACAAACAGTGTTCCAAAGTAGCTATACCATTTTACATTCCCACCAGCAATGTATGAGTGACCCAGATTCAGTTTCTCTGCATCCTTTCCACATTCAGTGTTATCAGTATTAATACTTTTTATTTTAGCTGTTTTGATAGTGTGTACTAGGATTAATTTGCATTTTTCTCATGGTTAATGATACTGAACAAATTTCTATGTGGTTTTTTTTTTTTTTTTTTGGTCATATGGATGTACTCTTCAGCGGAAACTGTTTATGTCTTTTGCCCATTTTCTTACTGGGTTGTTTGGTTAAATGTTTGTTTTTTATCTACTGAGATCTGAGAGTTCTTTACATGTTCTAGATACTTGTGTTTTGTTGGACATATGGTTTGCAAATTTTTTCCCCCAGTCTTTAGCTGTGTATTCATCCTCTTAACTATAAAAAGTTTTAAATTGTTTGTAAAAGTAAAATCCAGCCCCCAGATCCCAGTCTCAGCAATATTTTGAGTTCTGTCTGAGATGGTGTCCGGGTGGCTTTTATAGGGTGAGGGCTAAGACAGCTTGTCTTGCAGGACAGTGGGTGACCCAGTACACCCTTCGATGCAAGAAAACCCTCAACAGCACATAAAGGCCAACCACCATGTACCATGTTGAGTTTTTGAGACAGACCATCCTTCTTAAAACGTTAAAAAGTTTTTAATTTTGTTGAAGCCCAATTTATTTTTTTTTAATGGATCATGTTTTTGGTGTCAAATCTAAGAACTATTTGCCTAGCCCTAGATCTCAAAGACTCTCTTCTATGTTTTTTTCTCAAAGTTTTATAGTTATACGGGTTTTTTGTTTTTTGGTTTGGGGTTTGCTTTCGTTTTGTTTTGCCTACGGATGTTCAATTTCTCTGCCACCATGTGCCGAAAAGGTTCTTTCCTCCAATGACTTATCTTTGCACCTCTGTCAATAATCAGTTGTGCATATTTGTGTGGGGCTGCAATTCTGTTTCATTGATCTATAATGTCTATCCTTTGACCAATACCACAAAATCTTGACTTCTGTAGCTATACAGTAAGTCTTGAGATCAGGAAGGCTGATGACTCCATGTTGTACTTCTTTCTCAAAATTGTTTTTGCTATTTTAATTCCTTTGCCTTTCCATATATGTTTAAAATAATACTCTTCTTGCTATCTGCAAAAGCTCTTGCTGGGATTTTGACAGCAATTGCATCGAACCTCAATGACTTGAGGTGGTATCTTTACTATTTGGCTTTTTTTGAGACAGAGTCTCACTCTGTCACCTAGGTTGGAGTGCAGTGGCACAATCTTGGCTCACTGCATGCTCTGCCTCCCAGGTTCATGCCATTCTCGGGACTCAGCCTCCCAAGTAGCTGGGACTACAGGCACCCGCCACCATGCCCAGCTAATTTTTTGTATTTTTAGTAGAGATGGGCTTTCACCGTGTTAGTCAGGATGGTCTCGATCTCCTGACCTCAGGATCCGCCCGCCCTTGCCTCCCAACGTGCTGGGATTACATGTGTGAACCACTGTGCCTGGCCCACTATTTGACTTTTACAGTCCATGAAGATATTATATCGCTCCATTTATTTAGGTCTCTTTTATTTATCAGCGTTTTTGTAGTTTTCAGCATTTAACTCCTATATATGTTTTATTACATTTACATTTTGTAATGCAATTATAAACAGGCTATGCTATTTTTAACTTTTGTGTCCATTTGTTCATTAAATTATATAGAAATATAATTGATTTTTACATATTGATCTTGTATATTGTGACTTTGCTGAACTCACTTATTTAAGGGGGGGTATTTGGGTTTTCTCCCCACCATGGATTCTTTGGGATTTTCTATATAGACAATCATCTACATCTGCAAATAGAGACAGTATTATTTCTTACTTTCCAATAAGCATGTCTTTTATTTCCTTTTCTTACCTGACTGCACTGGCTAAAATTTCTAGCATTATGTTGAATAAGAGTGGTCAGAACAGCCATCCTTGCCTTGTTTTTCTCAGGAGAACACATTCAGTCTATTAATCATAATGTTAGCTGTAGGTTTCTTGTAGTAGCCACTCTATATCAAATTGAGAAAGTTCTCCCATTTTTCTTTTGTTTGAATTCTTACCATGGATAGCTGTTGAATTTTGTCAAATGCCATTTCAGCATCTATTGATATGGTCATGTAACTTTTCTTTGTTAGTCTGTTAATAT